ACTATACTTGTAAGATCATTAACGTACATTATAAAAAGTAAAGAACCTAAGACGGAACCTTGGGGTACTCCACTAAGTACTGGTCTCCAGATGGAGCACTTGGAATTTATTTTTACTTTTTGCCTACGACCTACTAGGAAATCTTTAATCCATTTTAAAAGAGGTCCGGCAATACCAAGGTTTTCCAACTTCAATAGCAGTCTATTAGTTGGCACCTTGTCAAAAGCCTTACTGAAGTTTATGTAGAGAACATCCATTGAGTTTCCGTTGTCTAGCATATTAATCCAGAACTCCCTTGCTATAAGGAGGTTCGTTGTACAGGATAGACCCTTTCTAAAATCATGTTGTGCCATATTCAGCAAGTTATTGGTTTCCATAAATGCCGTTATGGTCCGTCTGATTATTCTTTCTAGTATTTTAATTACAACACTGGTGAGACTTACGGGTCTGTAATTCGATGGGACTTGTCGTGGACCTGTTTTATGTATGGGAGTGACCATTGCGTCCTTCCAGTCCATAGGTAACACACCTTGGTCAAGTGACATTTTGAATATCACAGCCAGTGGGGCTGCGATATATTGGGCAATATGTCTCAAGATTTTAGGGTGTAGTTCATCTGGTCCTGTTGACTTCTCCATGTTTAGGGTGATAAGAGCCTTAAGCACATCGTTTTGGTCGAAGCCCACGGTGAACAGGTGGTTTGTTGACTCTGTATTTGGGTCTGGTTCTTTCTCTAGAGGAGGTTCCTGAGTAAAAACTGCCCCAAAATAGTCAGCTATAACCTCTGCTTTTTCCAGATCTTCCTCTATGATTTCAGATTCACTTCCTAATTTCATTAGGTTGGGAATCCAATGATCCATCCTTGTTCTGTACTTTATGTACGAGAATATTCTCTTGGGCTGCTTGAGTGCAGATTGTGCCAGCTGCATTTCATATTTTCTTTGCGCTTCCCGAATTTTCGTTATACACTCGTTTCTCATCGATCTGTAGCGTTGCATGGTACCTGCTGTGCCAAGGCGGAAGGCAACGTCTCAGCATTTCTTCTTTTTTGTCTCAGTAAACGTCGGATATCCCGCCCTATCCAGGGATGTCCGTGCTTCTTTTTCTTTGGGACAATCCAGGGTATGTATGGTTGAGTTACCCGATTGTATTACTGCCTGAATAAAGTACAAGCCTCTTGTACTGATGCCATTGAGTCAATTTCCCAGTTCTCAGCCGATGCTGCAGAGTTAATTGCCTGCATATCTGCCTTCCATATGTTGGAACGGGCCGGCGCAATTGTTTGACAAGCAATCCCAGCCATGAATTTGAATAATATGACTGCATGGTCACTTCTCCCAAGTGGAGGGAGAAAAGCCATTTGAACAACGTCATCACCGTGTGTGAAAACTAAATCTAAAAGAGAGGAAGAGTTTCTTAAGTCATATCTTGTGGGATCTCTAATGTGTTGGAATAATGCTAGTCCAATCGAGGTTTCTAACAATTTGGAGTCGGACGAAGATATAGATGACTCTACTTCTAAGTTAACCCAGTTTATATATGGTGCATTAAAGTCGCCTACTGCAAGGCTTTTACCGTTGTTACACCAGGACTTAAGTTTACTGAGGAGAAAATCATCTGCTACACATTCTGGACTGCGATATACTACAACTACTTCAATATCGTGCCTTCGGCATTTCAACTTACATCTCACCAGTTCACATGTCCCTGAAACATGTGCTACTGTCTCAGCTTATCTTATGGTTAGGGTACTTTTCGTGTACAGAATAACCCCGCCTCCCCTTCGGTTTAATCTATCAGCCCTACTGGTTAAAAAACCAGTCAACTGGATTTCACTATCTAATACTTCTGACGTTAACCAATTTTCCGAGACAACAATAACGTCCGGTTTTTCTTTATCCACCACTGACTTCAGCTCCGCCGTTTTATTTAGTAGGCTGCGAGAATTTGTGTAGCATACCTTTAAGTCTGTGTAGAGCTCTCCCTTGCCACCCAGAGTGGCTTGGGGATCGTTTTGCTCCGAACTTTTACACCTTGAAAACCCTTAAGAACAAGGTTTCGTTCCCCGTTTTGGCTACGTTCATTTATTTCCGTTTCTGCAACTCATCTCTTAATACGATCAGCTGGGCTGAGATCTTATCAGTTTACGTGAATTACTTAGAATCAGGTTCCTTTCTTTCACCGTCTTGAATGTAGTCTTCAGGAGGCGGTTTTTCGGAGGTCTTTCGGAATCCACCTCTTTTCCTATTCTATAAAGCTTACAAGTACTGACTCCTGAAACTGTATCTGGGAGTAGTTTACCTAATGATGTCTTAATATGATTGAGATCATGTTCAAATCTTGCCTTTGGTTCTGTATCCGAAGATTCTCTTATCTTATGAAAAATGACTGATCTATCAGAGAGATCTGTCTTGTCACGCAGTGAGGATTTTTCTTCTGATAACATCCCTTCCAATGCCTTGCTGACCAGCTGCGTTTTGCCTACAGCCTTTTTCTTCTTATTTCTTTTTCTTCTTACCGAAGTCCATTTGTTCCCACTCAGAACATCCACACCTGGACTATGTGGAACGGTGACAGTTTTATCCGGATCTTCTATTTCGACTAGAGGTGTATGACTGACGATGTCAATATCAAGCGACACTTCATTCCTCGTTAATGTCAACGAAGATTTCACGTTCCCGTCAACCGCAGTCAGGTGTTTAACGGGTTCAGTAGCAGCAAAACAAAGAAGTAAACAATGATGAATTTAAGGTTAATAAGAACCAATCAACATCGAGGTGCACAGAACAAGCTGTGAAACACATATGGAGAAATTCGAACACGTCACTTCTATCTGAAGTTTGTGCTGATGATATTGTTCAGAAGAACGACCAAACCATCCAGCTCAGAGAACAAAACTCCACCAAAATCATCCACCTGAGCTACAAATCTCCACCAACTGTTGTGTTATACTATATGTCAGGGGAAGACGATTGGTCATTGCTGGACATAGGAAGCTATTAGAAGAGTGCTTACGGGCAGCACGTGATTTGTGTTTAAAATTTCTGGCTGACCATATCTTAAGGTCATCGTTACTCTATTTAGGAGTGAGATCACGAACAATACTGACAAGTTTTCTCACGTGTCCATGTAGGGAGGGGATGAGGTTAATGAAAATGAACTTAATTTCACTGATTTTTAGTGATAGATTACACAACACAGTCAATCCATTTAACGTCTTGAAAATTTCTTAAGTTATCACTAGAAGATAATCAATAAGCGACCTCCCAGTCGTCAGCGAAAAAGAGGTTCAGACATGTTGAATTGGTTAACAGACCTCGTTGATGAGAAAAAGGTCATGGGCAAATTACACCCTTTTGCATAACCCCAGTGGCAATATCCACAGACTTGAAGCTGCAGGATCCAAAAAGAATAGCTTGATAATGCTCAGCAAATGAAAAATCTAGGTTCGATGTGGACAACAAGAATCTTTGTGACAAACCTAAAAATGATACAGGTATTCGGAGTTTGACAACATATTTATGTAGGACATCTTCACAATCGAAGCACACTAACCGAGTCAAATCGAAGTCAGAAATGAAGAGATTCGAAGATGTATTTGGAAAGCTATCGAAATATCGAGAAACTGTTTTGTCTGAGCTGACTCACAGTTGCAGAACTTTTCAGCACGGCGTACCCACTGGTGATTTGGTGCGTATGTATGACCGAGCGACGTCAACTAGGATGTGTCCAGTAAAACTATTGAGGCTAGGACCAATGTCGACTACTCACAGTACTATTCACTTTTAGGATTTATTTATCGCTATAAACCCATGTCCTAATGGTCTTAACAAGCTTTCGTAATGCAGAAGTGATGGTAGCTATTTGCAGATGATTTTCTTCGTGGTTCACGCATATACTTCAGCGGATTATTGCAAATTCTCTGCTACCATTCCCCAGTAATAAAGTCATAGGAATTTCTCGATACGATTAGTCTGCTTGATGATGTAGATGTAAAATGACCTATTGATGGATGTCTAGATAAGGACTTTGCGAATGTTTTCCTTAAGGTTTTGGCTTTTGTATTTTAACATCAAGAAGTAGAGTATTTTAGACGCTAATAAGTAGTATCAGGGTCGTCCACATCAGTGCCGTTAGTTCTAGAGTGCAGTTATAGCAAATGATTTTGGACTTAAGCGGAATTCGAATAGCCATATTGTTGTTGGCCGTACAACTCTGCTACCCAGATATTCATTCTATGTGGTCAAAAGCTAGTTACGTCAAAATAAACCAATCTCAGTCAGTTATGTTCGTAAGAGCATAGAATTCATGGTGCTTATGTTAGTAATTTTTTAATTAGTTAAACTTTCTCATCAGGCTCCTGACGGGATTTTTATTTTGGTATCGTGTTAAGTGACATATTCGATATTCCAAGTGATATCGTCGACGCAATACGTCAAGTTACGATATAAATCAAAAGCACGGTGTCTATGTTGTCTGTACTGAATTGTGAATTTCAATGTAATCATCAAATGTGAGTTTAAACGCGACTCCATGTTGCTTGATTCTACCTTCATTTGCTTCCCAACTATCTCAAATCATGTGTAAACCATGATAAAAATATCTATATTAGAAACTATGCACTGTAAATCCTGAAGTACATTTTCGTCTAGTTCAACAGTAGGATTTTAATAATAGTTTCTAAATACTTTGCTTGGATCAGTTTATATACCACTTCAATCGTAAGGGAAAAGAATATTTTACAGTGTATCCGAATATTAGGCACTAATTCAGTCTGAGAATTTCAATCCATACTACCATTTGAACATTTTGATACCGGTTTTCTGCTATAATATGTAGTGTGCCCATCTCTGTTTTAATTTGTAAAAACAGTTATTAAGATGAATGCTAATAAACGTCTGGCATAAGTCTATGACGTTTTGTTATCGAAACATAAATTTTAATTGAGAATTGAAATCGTTTGAACTAACCAGCTTTCTCTGTTCTGTGAATTTGCGGTTAGGTTAAGGTCAGATATTTTGTGACATTATATAGTTTGGTTATAATACGACGATTTCAGCGATCCTTACCTCTTCAGTATAGGTCATTGTAAGAAAACAGTTAGTCCAACTAATTAGGCTTTTCAAAGAAATAGAACATTCACTGTAGGTGTAGAATTGAATATAATTTAACATGATTCTTATACAAATGTTTCATACCAAATAATTAAATGATGTCTGTCCCGTGTATCTGGTCTTACTCTCTCAGTTTTATTTTAGTGTAAAACAGTGGTTGAAGAAATATAGTGTACACAACAAGTTGCAGATTCTCTCATATCTTCCCAATCTCCTGATTTCGGGGATAATTTATATCAGTCTTGTGGAAATTTTTGGGGAAGCTACAAAAGCCATAAAATTTCTACCATTTTGTGCTTCTTTATCAAGAAAACTTGAAAGTTTTGGTTTTCCTCAAACCTTGGGGGAAAACGGGGGTTTTGAAGTGACTATGGAAAGCTCAGGAATCTCCCCAAAATCCTAGTTTGGATCATTTAAACTTATCGCTCCTAATTCTTAGTTATCAACACTTCTTAGCAATAGTGAATTTGATTGACGTAACTGATCCTTGTGTGAAATTCTCGCCCAGCAATTCAATTCGTTACATTTCCGACGCTGAATGAACTATTTCGTAAAGGATAATTGTGACTTGGTTTCATTCAGTTAAGGGTGAATTATGAAACTTCACTCACGCTTAAATGGAATGAAGTTTAAGGCTTTTTAAGGAAAGAAAGGTATCAAACTTCTGGAACGTAAATGACTAGTAGATGAACAATATTGTTCTACAGACCCCTTAAGTGTTACCAAATATATCTAGCAGCAAACCGTTAATCTGTTTTGTCAGGAAATCTGAAGAATAATGTTAATACAATATTTCAGTATTTTTAAAAAAGTAGAACTTCAGTTCGTCACACTTATTGTGTAATTCGTATCATCATTTGAGTAAGATTTCCAAATTCCCAAGATGAATGATGTAGGCAAAGATGAGAGTAAAATGAGAAAGTTTCCAAGTTTATTTAGTAGAGGTGGGTGGGGAATGTAAGTTTTTCCTTTTTAATCGATTCATTATGTTCACTAAGATCAATCTTTTATTACCCTCGTTTATATTCGAGTTCTTGGACGCATATACTATACGACTATTGAAACCAAGAAGTATTGGCTTTGAAATTCGCCCAAGAAATAAATTCGTAATATGTGGCAGTTACTTGTCGGTCATTCAGTCAGTCAGCTACAACATAGAATCATGTACATATGTGCATGAATCCAAGTTGCTATACCTCATTAGCACAACAAGATGAACACCGAATCCATATAAGTAGCTAGTTCAATGGTAGTAATATATAAACGATTGTGTAAAAGGATATAGTACAGGAAGAAACAATTAGTCCGTAGAAAGAAAGATATGAAGCGATCTTAATCTCAAAGTATAAGGGAAGAAAGAGAGTGTATACACCGACGCCACTGTGATCCATTCTGAGCCATGTCACCAAGAGTCTCCAACCATTGGTTACGATAGTCACGTGGACCCCAACCAAGTAGTCTGCATCTACCAACATGGCTCAGACTAGAGGTTAATGACTTCAAGCACTGATGCCACATTTTGGTTTGGCCGCTCCTAACTTTCTTTCAACCATCCCCTACACTAGTCAGCATTGTGCGTCGTGGTAAACGGTGTTCAGGCATACGTAACACGTGACCCAACCATTTCAGTCGATGAAGATTCACAACCTCATCCACTGGTTTACCATCATTCTCGAATACCCTGCGTCTAACCTCACTATTACTTACTTGGTGATGCCAGCAGATGAGAGCAATCTTTTTAGGGCATCTGTGGTCAAATACATGTAGCTTACGAGTACGTTCTACTCTTCATGGCCACATTTCGCAGCCAGAACGTAACGAACTGCTGCGCAGTATACTCGTCTCTTAATTGACAGGTGGATATCTCGTCTTCGCCATAGGTGACGTAAGTTGGCGAAAGCCAAACGAGCTTTTCAAATCCGTGCAGAGATTTCGTCAAACACCAACCCAGCAGTTACTTGTATTCCTTATTATTTATTTATTTATTATCTGAACATAAATATTGGTACAAAAGGGCACCGAATAGATGTGCGCCGTACAAGTCACTTGATTTGTGTGTGGGCTATGATACTGCCCCTGTGCCGAAACCGGAGCAGGTGATTCTCCTAAGGGGACACACCCGGAGCCTTCGACCTAAAGGTTTAATCCACCACCTATTGGAAATGTCCAAAAGCTTTAGGCCGTGTGTTACTCAGTGCCAAAAGTAAAATATGATTTATAGGTTAGCGTCTTGGTTATAAAGGATGTCGATCCCCCCATGACACCAGCCATTTTCATTCCAAACATTTTCGCTACCCTCGGCTATATTGTGATTGAATTTATCGTGTTGTTAACTGTGATCATTTGTTATTAGTTGACATAGGTTCATATAAAATTGAGTGTTCGATTTTTTTCTTAGATGTCGGATGAGTCTTGTACACATTTGTACAAAGGTGCTGTGACTTCAAAACCTGGGAATGAAACTGTCTTAGGGACTCCCGTACCTGTTGCACACTCAACTGTTGGCTACGATAAACCTTCCAACAATCACAAACGTGATCGGTTTCATTTAAATGAAACGCAACAAACTTCTCCAGCTTTTGAAAAACAAACGTATGTTATCAATCCGTTTAGCAGAAATCAAAGTTACGACGTCTCTAATTCTAATAATAAAGAATTAAGTATTCTAAACATCGACACAATAAAGGGTAAGTGTCCTAATTTATTTTTTGATTTTTTGTAGGTCTATCTGATAGTGTATTAGATCGTAGTTTACAGAATCCCAAATACAATGAAATATCCAGAAAACTAGGTAAGTCATGAGATTTATTCTAATTTGCTTTCTAAATTAAACGTCACATTAGTGACAAACTCTATACAAAATTTGTGGTTCGAATAATGGATTTAACGTTTATCTGTTACTGTCGTATCCAAATAATGCTCTTGATAAGTTGATTAAAAAATAATGGCCATTCTGTATAAAACAAAAGCTGGCTAAATGATAAAATCGTTACACATCAGTTAATATTATTATTTATTATTTCAACACATAAATATCGGTACAAGAGAACACCAAATATGTATGCGCCACACCATATTTGTGTGTGTGGGCTGTGATACTGCCCGGGTGCCCAGACCGAAGCAGGTGGTTTTCTTAGGGGGCAACTCCCCGAGCCTTTGACCTAAAGGTCTGATCCACAAGGCAGTGGAACATCGTGAGGAGATGCATACCCATGGTAGCCAGTGACCAGCGATTGGTTCATACGCCATTTGTTCCCGCAGGATACTGGAGCCCATGTGCACCATTGGTTTGGGATCCGGTTAAAGCGCCAGACATTCGCTTTTCGTCCTCTCATTTTCGTGAACAACACCCCCGCCACGAGAAGGCAATGAGTAGGACTTCCCTGGCAGAGGCTATATACGCGTGGCCGTGTGAGAGCATTTCGAGAGGGAGGGCGAACCCACCCCACTCTCGGCCATACCAGGGCATTTGGGGGTTAAAGCGTATGAGTAACACCTCTGTTTTAAATAGACTATAATTCTTTGCCGATTAAAATTCCCCACACAAAAGAGAGTTGAGAACTAGGCAAATAAAAGTTATAGTTATTTCAAAGTGAACTACCAATCAAATCGTTACGTTGCTAATCACAATCGATATTCGTGTTATGCATAATTCACTGTGTATTTTGTAATTTATATTCTGAATTCAAGTTTTCAATTTATGACCAGACTTAGGAAATAGAAATAAGCAGATGGATACCTTTAAAGATGAACACTGTCAATCACTAGCAAATCTGTCGACTGATATGGAGACTCAACAGAAAATACAATTTGATGATGAGGAATTGAAGATGCTGGAAGAAGCTTTCAGCGACTTTGATTGTGAAGCATCTGAAGCAACTGCTCCAACTCGAGTTTGCGAGACATTTGCTCGTCGAGTATCGTGTGATTTACTAGACGTTGAAGAACAATGTTCAAATGGAAATAGCACATCAGTTTCTTCCCTGTCATCTAGTGAAGGTATCTGTGATGTTGATGGCAGCAATGTTGGCGTTGTCGACCTGGTCAATCCTAGTGTTTCTACCCATTTATGTAATATCCCTCAGGTATGTGAATAGAGCCCTGTTTTCTCATTTATTTTCTACGTTCCAGGACATGCACGTGAACAAAACCAGATTTTCATATTTGATTAAATACCTATAAAAGCTTAAAAGTTGAACTTTCGTTGATCTTCTAATTACTTTCTTCGTAGTTATTTTTGAAAAAGCCACTCGATGAATTACTAGAGTACTTTATTCTTCCAAAGTTTTCTTGGTAAAATGTATTTGAAAATCTAACCTCAGGATCTGAACAACCTCATTTGCTCGATGTTAAATTATTGAGCTGTGTAGTAAATTATTGCGTCTGGAAGTTTGAAATAAACTGGAATTTCGTTTTGTTTTATCCTGTGCCTTGATGCACTTGACCTGGAACTGCTTGCTCAGCTTTTTGTTCTACTCATTCACAGATTACCAATTTTATGGGTAATTTCGGTGATGTTAGGAATAGCACAAATATTTGGTCGTAGCCAGAGGTACTTTATAACTAATTTGTGTACTCGATGTTTTGTTCTACAGCTGTTTATGATTATTCCAAAGTATCCTTCCCCCCCTTTGAATTTTACGTAAATATCATAACCATAACAATGGATTTTGAACTTCAGTTCGTTATTATTATAGTATGGAGCTTTGGCTTAGTGGTTAAGGGATTTGAATTTCCCCTCACCTAGTCCTAGATCCGAACCCCATCACATCTACTGTTTGGACAACCAGATATTATCATTAGCAATTACCCTTAGAATGTGGCTCGCACCCAAGTGCGTGATGAATTAGAGAATTCATGATATTATTACTAATATTATAGTGTAAAAACAATCCATACAACGTTATACGGTGTCCCGATGCTCTTCCATTCAACTACTGATGATTGATGTTAAAAATTTTAAATATAGAGGAATACTTTCATCTTTATATGGTGCGAATAATATAAAACATCATTCAAAATATTTGGATATAGGTATAGTTAAAGCATCTAGCCATTATAATTTGCTAGAAGTTATAAAATTCATTTTTCTCAGAACGTGTAGTGAACATTTGTCTAGGGAATGAATACCCAATTGATTCTCACCATACTGTATGTACATACTATCAGCATTAGAAGAAGTATATGGAAATAGTTACCATAATTAATGACTACAGATTTGACGAAAAGGGCCTCTGATAGAAAAGTATTAAGTTGGTCAAAGTGGTATCGAAAGTTAGGAATTCTCATTTGTTTATAGACATCTCACCTAATAATTTTTTCAAACACATCACCACTAAAACAGCATAAAATGAATATAGTTCCCCATCTAAATATGTTAAGAATTAACTAAAATAATGTCTTCTATGGTATCCAAAACAACCAAATATTTATGTGATGATGCAAAGCTAGAATATTAATTACTTATCAAATGCCTGATTTCATCTCTAATTCACTGCTTGCGTTTAAGATCACTAGAATATGACATGGGATATTTGGCTGAGTGATTTCACCACGAAGACGTTCATACAAGTTCTGAGTCCTACTAGATCACTTCATATTACAAAGGACCTTAACGTCTGTTGGTACATACAGTTCATTATATTAAAGCTTATATAATGAGGTTGAATAAAACTTGTCTAGTATCCAAAAGAAACGTATCGTATAAGAACTAAGAAGACGTAAATATCGAGTTCCAGTCATCTTGAAAATAGCAACATTGTTGAATATAATGTGTTTATTCTCAAGATTACGAACATAATTGTAACTGAGTGAATAGCACGGTAATCTGTATTGAAAATAGTCTAATGAAAAGTGAATGCATGATTTGTGAGTAATAAACAAACGATTACCATTACTAATAAGTTTTAAACCTTTCTACTGAAAAACTACTTTATAAAATATTATCGACATATTTTCTTCTAAGTAAAATACCCTATGTAAATTTTGAACATTTCAATGTATGAGATTATTCCCATAATGGATAACAAGCATAACACTGATAATACTGAGTTAGCCAAATATAGCAAGACTGTGAGTACCTAGAGTGAAGGATAACACATTGATTATTGTTTTAGGTAGTTATTGTAGCTTGTCTCAAATCAATGAAATATATACATCCACAAGGCTGTAAGGTGTTAAGACTTTATTATGAGCATAAGTCATCAATTATCATATGGTATGACTTAGTGCATTTTGTAAAGAATACACCACACTTTTATAACAAATGGTAATACGAGAGAGGAATAAAATAAAAAGTAAGCTACATTATGTTCTTTGAATCCTATCAATAATTGTCATCCTATTTGTGAGTTTCTAAACTTGGGGTGCTAAGGATACATCTTCACTTCCGTTTCAGTAGATGATTCATTGATTATAGTAATAGTAGTTGTTACGTCCATTTGGCGATACCGGATAAAGTTCACACATGGAAGTCTCATCCCCTGCAACACCATACTAGATAACAACTTGGATCAGACCACTATTTCATCGTTTTTGTGTATTTGTGTTCGCCTAAATGCCTTCAAACATGACCTCATGTAAATATTCTATCCTTTTGTGTATGCAATTCACAATATTATTGTAATTTCTTTCTTCATCTACAGACCACGGAATTGTCAACTCTAGTTTCAGAATGTTATTCGAAGAACACTATCGAAAAGCAAGCAAACTCTTCAAAGAATGAGTGTGGCCAATCAATTTTAAGACCTCAAAACAAAAATTATTCACATTTGCCTTGCCTTACTGGTTTATCATCTGTTTTTGAAGTTGACTCAAATGAAACCAAGGTACATTTTTATATTATGTTTAAGTTTGGTTCTGTTTTTGTTCGATTATATGATGTATTATCAATAAAATGGAAAACAGCCTTTCAATACGAAACCATATTCTAATAGAGGAAAACAGACGACAGAGCCATTAAGGTACATGAAACTTGTAAAACGAAGAAATAGTCGCACTAAACAAAATTGTTGAAGCAACATATTAAGTTTTAACATTCATATGTGAACCCAACCAGAATTTCATAGTCAACATTGTTAGCTTTTTCTCGAAAATCTACTGATCTCGATAATAACTTAAAATTCCCACATTTACCATTAAGTATTGCCACTATGTGCATTGAAAACATATATTTCATCATTTTTTGCTGTAGAATCAATGATATAGAGCTCACGATATGCCTCTGAGAGTATATTGTGTGTAATTTTTTGGATATTGTTTTCTCCAAACTGGTTAGGTCAGTTGTGAGATTCTCACTATCCTTCTAGACAACATTATCATCAGCACAACTTTCTAAAGGATTTTTTCCCCCTACATCAAAGGTAGTAATAATAAATCACAGTATATCTCCCGAATAGAAAATGTGTCTTAAGCATACTAGAATTCCTCAGAATTAAACGAATTAATTAAGTGGAAGATAGTCTGTGATAACTCGGATAGATAATTTCACATTCGTTTATCGTACGGTTTCTGACGTGCTATTTGATTCTTCTCGATTGAATGACTTCAAGGATTTAACAAGAAATCATCAATCACATTAGAGAATTACCTTCGTTTTTAATCAAATGAGGGTTGTAATGTAGGAATAATTCAACTAGATTTGTCATTAGTTTTATTCTGGAGATATGTCTAAAAGTAGTGTATAATGGCACAGATAGACCTGAATATGAACTTTTTGGCTGAATTTAGGAACATCATATGTACTTACTGCGTAATAAAATTCTCTTGCTCAAGTTACCGCTAATCATTTGCTAGCAGATGTCTTAAAATATTTAAACTGAAAGCACTTTACCAGATTGATTAGAACATGTACCTGCCCATAGATGTGACCTTTAAAAATCGTCAAGAATTCCATATATCTAACTGGTATTTAATATGAGAGATGTGCGGAAATTAGTTCAGCACATGTTAATCTAGACCATAATTTTTGCCTTAGTGACGTTATTTTAGTACTTAATAACATGGTTTACACCACCTAGGTATTTGAACTTTCCTTACCTGTAAAACCTGTCACCTAAAGCTGAGAATGATTGATGAATCCATATGTTAAGTCATCCTTGGATTTGCAGTATTTTCTTAGTAGGCGACACCTTATAAACAACTATGAATTATGGCAATGTGTTTATCATTTTAAGTGGCAAAGTTACTCCTCTTAATTAACGTTGGTAATCAAGGCACATTCTGTTCCACTGACAACTTTATTGATTGCATTTTACTGCCTATGGGATACACTAGTAAAAGCTTATCATTTATTTATTTATTTATTTATTTATTTATTTATTTATTTATTTATTTATTTATTTATTTATTTATTTAAACACATAAACATTGGTACACGAAGGCACCAAATTGATGTACGCCACATAAATCATTCGATTTTTGTGAGGGCTGGGGTACTGCCCGGGTTTCCAAACTAAAGCAGGTGGTTTTCTTGGGTAGCCACACCCCAAGCCTTTGACGTAAAGATCTGATCCACAAGGCAGTGGAGCAATGTAAGGAGATGCAGTCCCATGGTCGCCGGTGATCAACAATAGGTTCATACATCCATGTGCAATATTGGTTTGGAATCAGGGTTTTCCAATTCACCTAGGTGGATCCTCCGTATCCACCAACACGGTTTTGTAAACAACAGTAATGCCTCGAGAAGTCAGTGAGTTATTGGAATGGAGATTATTTGTTCCAGATAACTTTGAAATCCTTGATCCCAGACGGCACCATACATACCATGACTTAGAAGAATCAACATGCTTCGCAACCGTGAAAGTCGTTCTGCAGCTTTCTGTTGTCTTCCATACAACCAGTACTACAGATCTTTAATAGAAGCTAAATTTATCTTGATCTAATTATTCAATTTATTGACTGATTTCACCCAAGCATTAAAGCTGGGGAATCGCTCCATATTTTCTCCTAGCATATAAACTGTTTTTACAATTTGGTAATATGTACCTTAACCATGAGATTTGAATAATTGACTTCCGTGTGAAAGTGTAGATGACAATGATGGCACAATTTAAGCAGACATAATAGTGGCAGTGATAAATCATACTATACTAATGATAACTAAAAGTGTTTATTAAGATTATAAATTGTATATGGGATCTGTGTAAATGTATAAACTAATATGGAATTAATAAACTGTAGATTGTACTATGTAGGTTAAACGAATTAAATATTTGTTCATAGAACTGAATGGTTTAAAAATACTAGCAAAGGTTTTAAGTGAGAAAAATTAAAAGAATGTGAATACAAATTTAATGAGGGTGAATCTATTGTATGTAAAAAAAGTAGGATCTACATTGATGTTCGGCTTCATGCGTAGCTAAAGCTTTTGCTTCATAAAATTAGCATCAAATGAATTTAGGAGTATGTGGGCAAATTCTGGAATAAATTACAGTTGGCATATTATAATTTGAGTAGTAGTAAAAGTATTTAAGGATAGAAATTTCGCCTGCTCGACTTTTGTTCTTGTAAAATCACATTTTATGAATGTCATCATAGCAGCTTCCATATGTTGGATTAATGGATGACAATACTATTGATTAGGTTGTTGGTATCCTACTTGGCGCGGTGGTATGGAAAAAAGGTCTGGGCACCCGGGTAGTATCACAGCCTACACACAAATCAAGTGACTTGTGTGGCGCATATGTATTCTGTACCCCTTTGTACTAATGTTTGTGTTCAGATAAATAAATAAATAAATGAAAAAAAGCTACATAGAATTCGCATCTGTCGATTCATCGTAATTCGCTTATTGGGTTTTAGAGTGCTCGATAATACATAGCACAATTAATCAATGTACATGCGTTTGTACAATCGAACTGTGAAGTCTCGTCCTCTTTCTATCATAAAATCTTGTACCAGTCATGTTCACTTCTTAAATGTGTGTGTTTGACGGTAGTTTATCTACAACGTACTGTTATCGAAATCATTAAATTATTGTTTCGATTCTGAGTGATAAGAAGACCGTTCGTTATTATTTCTGTTACCTCCGAAAAGTACTTTCTTAGTTCCACTACATTGAAAATAGCTGGTCATTTATGGTCTCTGCAGTTTGAACTCATGAGTACTAATTTTAGAAACATACAAATCGATTTAAGTGTCCTTGATTCGATTGATACATTTTTAGTTGTTAATCATTATCGTTCGACTGACTTGTGACTTATTTTCTCCAGCGAAATGCTTTTATCAGTCTAGTTGGTTTTTAGACATTTGAGTTAAGTTCCACAAGATATACCCTGGACTTTACTTTTAATCACATCAAGTTAGCTCAAATACACTTCGCATCAAAAGTAGACGTTTCTTGTAAATTAACTTATCCACCGTAGAATATTAACTGTTTGGTTGCTAATAAGGTGATTTTTAGTCAACTTACAGGATTTTTATAAATTAGTTCTGGACAATTTTTGTTCAGTCTTTAGTAAGGTACATCTCCACTGGATTTTGGATTTCACAGAGGCTCATGAAGTGCTATCTTAAACCTGATTAGTCCGCGCAAGGTTGTCTGCACAGTCTAATTTTACCTGTTTTAGCAAATATAGATAACCTTTATGTAGTCAGAAAATTTCTCAGTCTGTTGGTTAGCGTTACGATTTTATACTTTTATTAAAGTATGTTTTTAAAAAATATTTAACCGTTCTGTTTTTATGGTATATTCTTTTTAAATATAACAGTCCGGTGATTGCGTACAACCTAACTTATGCCCAATAACTACATCACCTTTAAAACTAAATCAAGCAATAACGGTCTCACCAGTACAGAATCTAATCAGTCGCACTTCAAAATGTACAAATAATGAACCAATCCAATCTATGAACAGAAATAATAATTTATCAACCCAAACACAAGTGACAGAACAGAACTTATCCAGTAAAAGTTCACATCCTTCACAAAAAGTAAATAATCTTAGTGATGCCAGCAGTTTGAAACTGAAAAATTTGAATTTGAATCAATCAGATATATCATATGTTGATATCAGTTGTCTACATATGTCCGATATTGACAGTTTGTTAGATATGATTACAGCTACAGGTAAGCAGCCGGATGATAGCAAACTGGAATCGGTTTCTCGTCACAATAAATTATCTTCACATTTAGAAAAACAACTTGAGGCTGTTAGACAAGCTCTAAGATCTAATATTCCTAGTAATACAGTTAATTCTAGTAAAATCTCAGCTGGTGTAAACGGAAAACAACCAAATTTTTCACAATCCAAAGTAAGCATTACAAATTCTCATATACTAAATGTTAACAATCACATGTTCCTTTCAATTTTTGTGTGCTTATTCATACGTGTTTTATGATATCTAATATCGGGAATTAATATTTCTCCTTTTTATTTTGTACACATATTTCAATGTTACTGGAAACTAGGTCTACTCTATCACGTCTCACATAAAGTTTTAAAAGCCGTTCCAAATAAGACAGTATATTTTCAATGCTTATTTATATTATTAATTGAACTTAATATCATTATCACTGACCCCATCAGCATTGCAATTTATCATTTAAAAAGTATTTAGTCACTAGTTGTAAATCACATCTGCATACTTTGATTTAAGTACTCTGTCATTATCTTTCTCAATACGTTCGTCATTCTAAAATTTGTGAACAAACTTGCACGTGATGATTACTGAGTTATATCTTAAATTCTATTTTGTTTTTGGTAAATATTAATTTTGGAGTTTGTGAAATGCGTTCAGCTTGAATACAACCTACATATTCTTGTACCATTTTTTCAGTACCGTATTATTGATATGCTTGTCAACCCATTTACTGTATCGTAATATCGTGGAACCAGTATTATCCATACTTTTTTGATTTTACTGTTTTGGAGGTAGCATTGTTCAGAGAACATAATGCTTCTTCGGAAGCCTCCTCCTGAGCTGCAAATATTCTCGATTATCTCATGATTTTACTATTTTTTATAATCGTGGTGAATTCAATATTATCTGTACCGAATAATTAGAAACGAAACATAAAATTATTGTTTATCAGCGGTCAGCAATTATTATCTAACTCATTTACTTTCGCCTATTTAGGGACTTGTCACTGTTATAACTTGTGACCTTGTACCCTATTAACATATAAGCGTAATGATACCGCCAATTAGATAACAGTGAATTATCGACCGGACCAATGAAGCATGAAACCCGTACGAGCCGTCTGGTCTTTATCGGTCTTTATTCCTGCCTAGCCCTGTCTGTTAAATCCAGAACACCAATATCAGCCTTTACAATATGAACCATGTATTTCAAACATACTGGGTTTATATACAAACCAAACAGACCACATCGTACCATAAAACAGAAAATAACATTTGTACAAGATCTAGCCAAAAAGTGGTTGTGAATGTGATATAATAGACTCGAGAACGGTAAATCGTATAACAATAGTTTATGGGTCAAAATAAAGTTTATAATAATAGAAACATGAATATGCATAATTTAGCTACTTAACATTTATACAATAAAAATATATGTATAGTAATAGCCCAGAAATAGATTCCAACAGTCACCATTTATTATTCTCATCGGGATATAACAATCACTTGAATATACTTGTATCTTACTAAGATCAAACGCAACTGGTATTTTTGGGAAGGATTGGAACAAAACTAGAATCACGATGGTTAAAATATCACATTAATCCGTGAATTCATTGATTACTGGTCTGGTTCGAAACCGTAGGTAGAGGTTTCCAGCTTGGGATCTGTGAAGTATTCCTATTCAATTGTTGGAGTCTTTGGGGCATGTGGGACCGAAATCTGCCACAGTGAAGCAGTTTTATTCGTTTTTCAAGATCATTTTATTTACCTTGAACAAAGAGTCATGGCTTACTTTTTGTTCCTTTATCTAATTTTTTCCCGCCATAACACTAGTTCTGATGGTCAAAGACAACTGGTGTTATTTTCCCTTTTATAATTCTCATCTTGTTAACTTTACATATATCCGTGCTTATGTTTAGTTTGACTTCGAACTGATTCATATTCAAGCTACATTTCACGTTAATGACTGTTTACTGACATAAATTCAAAAGGTGGGACTATAATTTACGGTTTTCATCACGAACTGATATAAGCTAAAATGCCAAGACGCTATTTGGACGTACGGATGAGTGAATTTCGCGCCAAAATCCAAGACCTGTTATCTTGAATGTGGTTGGTTCGTCCATAAATTCTAGTCTCGCCATCCAAAATTTAGAGGTCTGTCTGCTTAGATAAAAACTATGACCACTTTTGGTTAACTGTTTGCAAGTGTTTGTTTACTTCCAAGAATTTAATGCTCAGTAATTTTTTACTAATTGGTTTCTTCAGGTTGTTTGTATTTTACTTCGTGTCATTATTTGGTGCTGGTTGACGTTTTAATACGAGACGCATGTTCCGCAATATTTAAAAATACATCCCATCACAACATCGAATCTTTAATGATATGCCCCCAAATACCCTGGTATGACCGAGAGTGGGGAGAGTCCGCTCTCCCTCTCGAAACGCTCTCACACGGCCACGCGTATATAGCCTCTGCCAGGGAAGTCCTACTCATTGCCTTTTCGTGGCGGTGTTGTTTACGAAATTGAGAGGATGAAAAGCAAATGTCCGGCGCTTTAACCGGGTTGCTGGACATGGAGAGTCCACCTAGGGGAGTTGGAAAACCCTGATTCCAAACCAATGGTGCACATGAGCTTCAGTATCCTGAAGGAACAAATTGCGTGTGAACCAATCGTTAGTCACCAGCTATCATGGGAATGCATCTCCTTACGATGCTCCACTGCCTTGTGGATCAGACCATCAGGTCGAAGGCTCCGGATGTGGCCCCTTAAGAAAACCACCTGCTTCGGTTTGAGCACCCGGGCAGCATCACAGCCCTCACATATATCAAATGAGATCTGTGTGGCGCATATGTATTTGGCACCTCCTTGTATCAATATCTATGTGTTAAAATAAATAATAAATTTACTCATATATTTTCTTAAAATTGTTTATTTTCAGGTGGATGCACTAAAGGAAAATATTCCTCCTACAAATACAACTAGTTCTGGTCAGAATGTAACTCACAGAAAAAAACTATCTCATTATCCTAATCCGGATGTTCCACATGTGCCTGCGAATCCATCAGCTAAATCCCATTCGATTAATGCTACAAGCGAGAATCCATCAATTCATGACGGATCTGTAATCTCGCAAAAAGATTCTTTCTCTCTAGAGGTGTTAAAATCTCAAAATATTCCTATTCTATCAAATACTAACTGCTTAATTTGGGCTGGTGCAGTTTGTGGACAGATACAGTGAGTGAATTTTTTATTAAATCCCATGTGAACTCCACCCTGAAACGTGATGTATCTGATTTTATTATGTAGTTTGAAGCACATTGAATGCAAATATTGTGTGCATGTCATATTACAATATCTTAATTTTGTCATTTACATCTTTTCATTTCCTAACACTCAAGTCTTATCATTTTCGATTGATTTCCGCTGTTACCCTGTTGCAAATTACCAATCCAAACCGAAGTCTGCGTCCAGACTGAATTGCATTCTTTATCACCATGTTTTCAAACAAACTAACCAGTTTGTAGAAATACACACATCTAACAGTAGCAAGGTGAAAGTATGTACATCATGACTGATATTTTAACAAATTAATCGCAAATGTTTGTTAAATGATGCTTGCCAGTTCGAACATACTGAATTATTCTTGCGTACTGAATGGTGGATGAGCTATTTTTGTCTGTAATTGTGAATAATTAGTGTTACGGCTGCTTTAATTCCCAGGTCTTGTTGTCTAACATCTGGAGGTTAGGACTATCTCTTTATGCTTTCAGAGATGACTTTTATATCTTTCTTTCAACCATCCCCTACACTAGTCAGCATTGTGCGTCGTGGTAAACGGTGTTCAGGCATACGTAACACGTGACCCAACTATTTCAGTCGATGAAGATTCACAACCTCATCCACTGGTTTACCATCATTATCGAATACCCTGCGTCTAACCTCACTATTACTTACTTGGTGATGCCAGCAGATGAGAGCAATCTTTTTAGGGCATCTGTGGTCAAATACTTGTAGCTTACGAGTGTGTTCTACTCGACTGTTGTTGCTACCTTGACGTGGTGGTCGGTCTTGCCTATCGTGATGAAGCAACCGAGCTATACTGGCTGGAACAACTGTTCCTCAAGGTCTTACCATGTCAGACAGGTCGGTTGATGAGCGGTAATACTAAAAGCAACAAACCCAAGGTCCGAATGCGAAGTCGTACTGCTGACTGTACAGAGGTGTTACAGCAGTAAGGTGTTTCCTTCAGACAACCAGCATGACAGCGATGCTGCCTTCCCACAAGGAGAGGTGGGGTTAGAAAAGGTCGACTCTAAAAATGCACACCTCACCTTATCCCACGAATATCTGTCTCCGGCGGTAAGGTCCCAAAAAGTACGGAGCTAACACAAAAATTGCCCATAAAAAGGTCGTGTGTGACCGACCTCAAGCAGTTGTCCCTTGGGTACTGTGGTCACGCTCCCAGGTCACTAAGACCAACTCTAATCCAATTTCTTTTTCAGGTACCTCCAGAAGAACCCTTCCACGGTGTGGGCATCCGGGAAGTGTTAACCGCCTTCATACCTCTAACAGCACTCAAGACCACTGTATTCATATCATGGAGGATGACAATTACTTTCTTTTAATTCACTACTCACTGTACAATGAGTGGTAGTAGCTAGATATATTTGTTGACGTACTCTAAATTACACTATCGATTTGTACCCCAGATCCTTTGTATTAAGGAAGTTCTTTATTACTACACCAAACATTTTAAATTTTCTGAAAAGGAGAGAAATATACACTTGTTTGCGTACTTAAATTAATGTCTCCCAAGAATCGACTTTCCCGTTTTTCCTTCCGGTTTTTTTCTCCATATATAATGTATCATTTCCTATCTCAAAACCACACTGTGGTCAACAAAAAATTTGGACAATGTGTAGATAGTTTTCATATTTGTCCATTATTAGCTGACGTTGTGAATATATATAGATTGCTTTACTTAAATTATCATGTTCTTTTTCTTCGTACAAACGATTAACCTATTGTCGACGACAAATTATAATCTTATTGTTATCTTTTTTTGCTTTAGTCGACAACATTTCCTTATCAAACATCAAATGGACAAACCGACTACCATATCATTTGTCGTTCATCCCAAATCAGAAGTGTTTAAAGTAGGTCTTAAATATTGTTCCCTTTTTGGCTAAATTAAATAAAATGTGGAAATCTAATTTTTCTTACTTATATACTTATTTATAAAGGATAAGTTCAGTTATTCGACGCTTGATTACACTTTTTGAGGGGGGATCTTTGATATTTCTCCTTGTTTGTCTAAACTAAATTAAGCGGAGTTGAATCATTTCAAGTTAAAAGCCGAATTCTTTAATAATTTAGCCATCACTCAAATGGCTTAGACAACATAAAACATATAGTATTTTATGTATGTTTAAAGAATTAATTAGCTTGTTACATCTTTGTAAAAGATACAGAAATTCAGTGTTAAGAACTATCGTTTTCCTATCCATTATAGTCATTGGAATTATCTATGTGTAAGTTTGGTTATATGTTTTAATCACTGTGATGATTCTTTACCCCATTCAAATTAGAACACATTTCACCCTTAAACACAATAAAAAATGCTCTGATAAAAATAGTTCGAGAATAAAACTTATTTTAGCAACCTGGTCCGTTAAAAATCTGAAGGTATACTAAGTAGTGATAAACAATACTTGTTTGCTGTTATACAACACGTCTTCTTTCATTGGGTATTGACTGATACTTAAATTTTAAACTTACAGTTTCCTGAAACATCATTGTGGTTTGGTAGTTATTTCTTCTGTCTGTAGGGAGTTTGTGGGGATTGTTGATTTCCCTTCTATACATTTAAATAACCATCAGAAACTAAAAAGCACTGGACAGCTGTTTCATTCTAGTATATTACTCCTCAGGAGTACAAACCTTCGACCTCATTGAGGAATCGGCCTTGGGATTTTTTGATTTCGGAGCAAGCCTCTAACCACTGATTCACCATCCAATGGTTTACCCAGTCACCCACAAATGATAGTGGAAGATGATTGCACATTATCGTGAATTGACTGAAATTAGATCCTGACTCTGTTTTCTGAAGGTTAGACGCTTGCTTCGAAACCTGGAAGGTCCTTGATTTGTTCCCTGACAGATTTTTTGTTGCGCGGTGTAAAGTCTTATGATAGAACGAAACGTCTGTCTAATGCTTTCTGGTTTTCAAAAGTTGCCTAATTGAAGTCAGTCCGTGATGTTAACTATCGATTCAACCTATTAGATAATCTGCCTTCTCACAATGAATATGAATTGAATTGGTATACATTACTCTGTAATTGGCTTTTATTACCTAAAAATTGTCGTAATTCTGAAATCTTGTTGTGAATTGTCATATATTTTCAATGTTCAGGTTGTTTATGTTCAGTTGTTATGAAAACAACAATAGTTTATAAAGACAATTGACCTAGTGCGAAAGAACTACAAACCTCATTCCCTAGTAAGCATTGAGATTCAATCAAGGTAAATAAAGTAATTTGGCGATCACTATTGTTGCCAAGTGTAATTTTATTTAGTGAGTTGATTTACACGAATCTATTGGGCTATTTCTTTCATATCCTTTGCACACAGTTATCCAGTCTTTATTTTATTAAGTAATGCTGTCTAAAGTTAAATTGAAATCTAGAAAACCTTAAGGTAATTTAATCAAATTCCTATGGTGCCGACAAAAATATCTTCATCCAATGTCATCAATAAAAATTACTGTTTCATTCTCGACTTGATTCATTCAATCTTTTCCTTGTTTAGTTTTTATATCAGCTAAATATTTTGTTTTAATCTTTTTATTGAGACAATATCATACCTTATTTTGTCTCAGTATTTTTTACTTCAGTTTAATGCTTATCCTTTTTTTGTTTTCAAAATCTCATATAGCTTGTTGACGAAAATGGTTATTTGATTACAGGAACATTTCATATTTACTTACCACCAAATCTTGAATATGAAGTAAGTGTCGCTTACGTTGCAAAGCATCCAGTTTCTTGGGATTTCGGACATTTACTTTTACGATCTGAAGAATTCAAAACTTCCACTTTTAAAGTAAGCGATTGACTAAAAATTACCTGTAATATCTTGTCTTTTTCTTTGCTTGTTTATCGTTCTTACCGTTCGTGGTTTGACTTTTACGATATAATCGAGTGGTTTTAAATTTATCATTTTTGTAAAGCAAGAATAATATTTTTTTGTGGGATGAAGTGAATTCAGTGTGTATATGAGTAAATTCAGAACATAGGAAATGAGACGAGTTCACCTCTTACCACAGTACTTGTTGTTAGTGCTTTACAAAACTTTGTAAGGGAACTAATTGATCTAGCAGTTTAGAGTTGTGGAGACCGTTGAATTCTATTGACTTCATGGACAGATCTTGATTAGACAACCATTGAAAGCCTGGAAACATTAGATAACTTTTTTTTCTAGTATAAAAACCCTCATCAGTCGGTGTCCACAACTTCGAAACCGGGAATCGGACACAGATACTTCAATTATTAACCGAAATGCCTAATCTATAGACCACCGAGTTCATTCCGAATAATGTACAAGCTAACTTCATTAAATCTGCAATATTGCGTGACTATTTTCCACTGTCTTCCGTGGTTTCCTCCACACACCCGGCACAGTTTGGCTCCCCTGACCACGACTCCTCATTAGAACCAGAAATTTCCTCTCCAACCTAGTCCTTAGCAAGTATATGATTCTCATGTCTAATAATAACAAAATATCAACATATCATACTTGATATGAGTAACCTTATGATTATCGATGCAAAACCATAGTTCCCCTACTTCAGTTCATCAACCCTACTCAGTAAAACTGATTTCTATTTGTAAATACACTAGTTCGATTATTTTAACATTTTATTATTCGTAAGTTTTGGTATGCGATTTAGTGGCATATTTCTCAATGATTGGCATTGTAATAAGTCTTTTGAAATATTAAAACGGAATGTTTCTTTCTCGCAAAAGCACCGGCAAATTGGCATCTGCATGACTTATTTCCGAAGTTGTGATTGAATAGCGGAATAAAAACTAGACAATGGGACCTGCTTACACATTTCTTCCAAGTAATTACCATTTTTTCGTCTTTATATTTTAGGTTACATAATAATTTTTCACAGAATTTTCACATTTGTATACATTCTTGTCTTAGGTAAGACTAATTGGTTATACAAATTCCAGTGAATTGGTTTGTTCTTGTTGTTCAAAATTAAGTCCCAATGTTTATTGGGTTGTTGCGTCTAAAATTAATCCCAGTTCTGAGTCAGTGGCTAAAGATAATGAAAAATTTCATGAAGCAAGTCTACGTTCTACCAAATATGAACTTACTTCAAATGTATCTGGATGCTCTTTGGCAAGTATTAATATCAGTAATTATGGCTCTAGATCTGCTTGGGTCTATGCTCGTGTTGATTGGGTCGATCGAAAAACCGCCAGTCAAAATGAACATGATGGTACTTCTGAATGCGGTGTTATTATTGAACCTAAAGCTTTAGTTATTGGATCGAAACAATCTCAGGTTTATCACGTTTTATTATCTTATAATTCCTTCTAAGAGTAAATTGTTTGTCAAAAACTAATTGTTTTTTAAAATGTCATTTTTGTTACTTTCAATTTCTGTTTTCTAACTATAAAGTAAAGCAAACATTTTAATGGTAATTAGTTGGTCTCATGCATGTTCTGTTTATCATCCTTAATCCACTAGCTATTATGATGCATTCGTTAATGGATACAGTTGTATTGTTAGAATTAGACCTTGAATTTGACAAATAACCGGTAGTTTGATTGGGTGGTAGGTTATATTGTTCGCTTTGATTATTTTATCACACCACACGTTTCACAATAATGTTATAGCAATCATAATTGGTATTTGCTTTCCTCAAGAAATCACTACATTAACAATTATTTCGGTGTTACGCAGCATCGCAGTAATTACTAATGTTTGTCTGAAAGATTATGTAATTCGCTTTTTTTGAGAAAAACTTCGTTTATTCATGTTATAGAACAGTTTTGAACACTCATAATTCGTAGTTTGTGAGCATAGTGTATTAATCTGAATGGATTAGGAGTTCGCTAACTATACATCCATTATACGTAGAGAATATCTTTATTTCTGCTATCCGTTTGGGGTTTTTGCAAAATTGGGAATCATACTTGAGGAAAATAGTCAATCCATTCAGTTTAAAACTCAGAGTGAAATGAAGCATGTTTTAAAACAACCAGGATTTGTAAATACTCTATTGATTACATAGATGAAAGGGCGGTACTGACATTCTCGTTAAATAAGTCAGTCACTTCATAAATAGTTTATTCACATGCTTATTAGCTATGTTTTATGCACAAAATATGAATTATATTCTAAAGAATTGAAAAATTAATATCTTCAAAATATGTACTAATAGGCAGGTTTTTAAAAGATTGTAAATTACAGTTCCGTTTTTCAAAGCATTTTTATAATTCGAAATTTTAAGTGGAATAAATTTTAAAAGAATTTTCCATGTTATTGTTTACCATCGATTTAAATGTAAAAATGAAAGAATTGGAAAGTATGTTTGGACGTTAGAAAGTTGAACACTGAGTACATCTACAATAATTACGCTTTTTATTTTGTAGTTTGTTAGAAATAAATTTACTCACAATAAAAGTATATGTGAATAGATTTTTGTTATTAAATCACTCAGTAATTTATTTTATTTTTTTTACAGAGCATTTTTATTACTTTAAAGCATGGTGTAAATGCTGCACGTATAGTATTTTACCATGGAGATGAAGTTGTTCGTTATCAGTTCCGACGATTGTAAGCATTATTTATTTAATTCAAAATGATAATTTTGAGAATTGAATCATTTTTACTACTGTTTCGTCTTAATTCCCTGTTTTTTGTCATGTGTTATATTTTACTTTATGATATACTTCTGTCTAGTTTTGTTAACGAGTAACTTTTCCACGAATTTAATCTTTTTTCTCGAATTATATTGCACATACTTGGTTGTTTCTACTGATACTGAGATAATGATACTAATTTTACTATTCTCTGATTTGTCTAGACAATTTCATACCGCTGTGGTATTGGAATGTGACAACCTGAACCAATACAAATATATGCCAGGTTCTGCATAGCATCTGACTGCCAAATAGCTGTTCTTTAAATCTTGTTGCAAAGTTTGTCTCTGATATAGTTAAGAATTAATGGTATGACCGCATACAAATTCCCTTCATGGACCAACTAGTCAAGTAATAATGGTTATCACATTTACCAATAACTCACTAAATAAAATAAAATCACGCCCAAAATTTTTCACCGTCTGTGGATGGATTATTCATCCCTAGCATCTTCGTAAAATGATAAGTAATGTGTTTCGAAGCGTCCTTCTTATTCATGATAATTTCAATGTGTTACACGAATGTTGTTTTCTGTCTACTCAGTAATTTGGCAGTATTAATTTTCCGCTGTAACTCTGCCAAACATTTTTTCCGTAAATCGATAATATTTGAGATCACATTCAAAACTCGATTCTATCAAGTTTTAAATGAAGAAAATCCAAATAATAGTACTAAAAGAAGGAATATTTGATTATTCACATTTTTGACTTTCATACATGTTTCATACATGGATAAGTGGAATATCATTATTTGTAACGTAGTGGTTGTAGGTAGTCGACAGGAAATCCTTGATATAGGTTTCGGGCTAGTTGGCACTCGTCAACAAGGTAGATCTGTAACCTTGATGGAACTGATGCTCCTTGACGTATCCTGTCTCGTGTCATCTAGCTTCACAGTCAGAGATGTTATCGTTGAGCTATCCGGGCTGTGATTGACCTGTAAGACAGATGTATTTATAATTGTAATTTACAATTGCAAATAGCATTGTTTGAGAAGTTTAACTATTTTTTAAACTGTAATCTCCTGATATTCATTCTTTCTTTCTTTCCTGTAAAAATTCATTTTTAGTAATGAGCTTTGTATTCTCTCTTCTCTGTTAATATGTTATTTCCAAGTTTTTGACGCGAAAATTGCTTTTTAGTAGTTGGAATGAGTACTTTTCATCTTCATAATACATGAAGACTTTATATTTGAAGAAGCTGCAAATTCATCTTTTAACATTTATGTAAATCCTTTTTAAATTCTCTGAGAATTAAGCTAAATTTAATTCAGTTATAAACAGATGAACATGGAATTCAGACATTAATCCATTTGTACAAGATCAGATTATATTGGTTTCGATTGTTTTGACTGTCAAAAATCTGTGCTTTCAATTGTGTAGTCATACAGAGGTCTCAAGCATTCATTAATTTATAAGGCACTCACAGGATTTTTCAATTACTGTTCATAAAGGTTTCGTTCCCACTGGTAACTTTAACAATGAGTAATTTTTCTAGTTCGACTTTTCACATGACCTTATTCCACTTATTCTTTGTTACTAGTCTTAATTCGCTAGTTTTCCGTGTCTCAAGGTCATGTTTTTGTTACTATGTATACGGAGTTACACCATCCCAAATTATCTGCTTCAATATCACGTTTTCCTGCATTCTTTCGGTGTGGACAACGGGGAAGTGTCAACCGCCTTCATACCTCTAACAGCACTCAAGACCACTGTATTCGTAATCAACCTCTCTCTTCAATTCCTATTATTCCTCCTACATCGACTTTCAACTCTAAACTTCCTCTTTCGGCTTCCCCTTCAAGTTTCACTATAGCCAACGATTCTAGTATACAAAACACTGTCTCAAGTCTACTGAAACCTCGCTCCAAACTACACATTGGAGCCTTCAACGTACTCACTCTATATCAAATTGCCCATCAGGTCTCCTTGGCTATAACCCTAGAATCTCGTACCATTGATGTATGCTGTGTCTCCGAAACACCCATATAGGATCTCAGTGTGGTCATTCACTTGACCTCACCTCGGCAAAACGGAGAGCTGACGAGATACAGCCTCCGTGTATCTGGCCCACCTGATGGCTAGTTCTCGTGAACTGGCAGGTGTGTGCATAGCACTACGTACGTGGGTAGAACAAGCACTATTAGAGTCGATCCCCGTTAACAGTCGTCTATGTGCTGTTCGGCTAAACGGCTCCGTAAGAACTTGGAAGGATAGGGACACCCATCGTTGCCTTTTCGTCGTTTCTGCCTACGCTTGCACTGACTGCAGCTTGGATGAAGTGAAAGATGGATTTTACAGAAAGCTGAACGTTCAGACATAGTACACGTAGCAGGTGACTTTAATGCCCAGGTAGGTAGCTTAAACCAAAGAGAAAGAAATTTTGGTGGGTATTTTGGTATTCCGGCTCAGCGAACAGATAATAGTGATTATTTGCTGAAACTGTGCTCAGACAATCGTTTATTTTTAGTAAACACTAATTATAATCAGAAGAGAGAAATCGACCCCCCTCACCAACCGAACGATGGACTCAAATAAACCATATTACCATCAGTCATCGTTGGAGAGGGTCAGTAGAAGATTGTCGCTCATTCTGGGATACCTGCTTGCGCCTCACTGGACGCAGAAAAGCCACACTAAAAACATCCATGAGAATTGATTTGAGTAATGAGTAAACCAAACGTAGGTTCCAGGAACAACTGAGGTCACGATTAGGTAGTTCTGAAAACGAGGTTGACGCAGATGTTTCTTGGAAAGATATACAAACAGCAGTGACACCTGTTAGTGATTTAAACCAAAGAGTTACTAGAAAGCTTTCAGAATTTATGTCAGTGTTTTCACCTAGACTTATTTATCACATCCATTAGTGATTTAAACCAAAGGGTAACAAAGAATCAATTGATTTCTTCGAGGTCTATTGCACTGATGGATTCTTGTAAACTCATCCCATCAGGCTCTGAGCACGATAAAGAGCGTAAACAAATCAGATCTAGGTTAAACAAAAGTCTAAGAAACGACCGTGAGCAGTAATGGGCAACGAAAGCAGGGAACACAAGACAGCCCTACAGACTAATAAAAGAAACTGGAATTAATAAGTCGAGTGAAAGTGAGACTATTTCAGAAAAAGACGACACCCTCATCTGCTCCCAGTCCAGACGTTTAGAACGACGGGAGAACAATTTTAGGGAACAGTTCAGCTGGCCTTCAGCTACTCTACAACTACCCTCCATTCCCCGATAGTGTGAATGGAACATTGAAGTAGGTTCTCTAACTCTAGCAGAAGTTCAAAAGGTTATAGTTAATGTGAAACGAGGAAGGGTAGCTGGTCCAGACGGATTGGCTCCAGAGGTCTTCAAGGATGATGGTCCAATTTTAGCGATTAGGTTGACTAATATTTTAGCTAGGATCTGGGATTTAGACGTGAAGACGCAGATAAAATGCAGAGTCTTGATAGCACTGAGCAGCAACGCCAGAATGTTTGGGATGCGCTTCTCTCCCTCTAAATGTAAGTATTTGCTTCAGGACTGGCCTGTGTCAACACCTGAACTAAGGATGGGGAGTGAAGCAGTCAAACGCGTTGACAAATTCATTTATCTTGGAAGTTTGATCAGCCCTAATGGATTAGTGTCTGACGAAATCTCTGCACGGATTCGAAAAGCTCGTTTGGCTTTCGCCAACTTACGTCACCTATGGCGAAGACGAGATATCCACCTGTCAATTAAGAGACGAGTATACTGCGCAGCAGTTCGTTACGTTCTGGCTGCGAAATGTGGCCATGAAGAGTAGAACGTACTCGTAAGCTACAAGTATTTGACCACAGATGCCCTAAAAAGATTGCTCTCATCTGCTGGCATCACCAAGTAAGTAATAGTGAGGTTAGACGCAGGGTATTCGAGAATGATGGTAAACCAGTGGATGAGGTTGTGAATCTTCATCGACTGAAATGGTTGGGTCACGTGTTACGTATGCCTGAACACCGTTTACCACGACGCACAATGCTGACTAGTGTAGGGGATGGTTGAAAGAAAGTTAGGAGCGGCCAAACCAAAATGTGGCATCAGTGCTTGAAGTCATTAACCTCTAGTCTGAGCCATGTTGGTAGATGCAGACTACTTGGTTGGGGTCCACGTGACTATCGTAACCAATGGTTGGAGACCCTTGGTGACATGGCTCAGAATGGATCACAGTGGCGTCGGTGTATACACTCTCTTTCTTCCCTTATACTTTGAGATTAAGATCGCTTCATATCTTTCTTTCTACGGACTAATTGTTTCTTCCTGTACTATATCCTTTTACACAATCGTTTATATATTACTACCATTGAACTAGCTACTTATATGGATTCGGTGTTCATCTTGTTGTGCTAATGAGGTATAGGGACTTGGATTGATGCTTATATGTGCATGGTCCTACGTTGTAGCTGACGGACTACATACTTTCGTAAATGTGAATTATTGTTAAAGTGTAGTTTTCCAGTTGCCGCTCTATCGAATGCTCGAAAGAACTAATTCATACTAGAGCACGCCCAATCTTTCTGTAATTAGTAATCACCGTATCCATGTAATGAATTTTAATCACAAGATATATCAATGATATATTCAAAGTTTATTCGCAGTTGTATGGTGTATTCATTTTTTCTCCAGATGTGCTTGTTTTGAAGAGACCATTTCAAAATTGAGAAAACGGTCTAGTCACAGCCGTCAAAATAATCGTTTACGATTATCAGACATTTTGAAAGATTTTGAATATGAACAATCTATCCAAATCGGTAAGAAGTTCGTTATGCTTTTTATATTTTGCAATCAGTATAATAAAAGATATATGGCTATATAGAGCTGAAGGTCTCATATGAGGCTGGAAGTTCTCCATTGTTATTGTGGACGGTTCGCTATTACTTTGGCAAGTTTTGCTGACTGTTCATGCAAACAATTGGTTTGCTGGTTAACCGATTTCATTCATACTGGTGGTTGCTTTTCAGTGTTCCCGAGAGCCATTGTCATTGGGACATTGTAAGGCATGCCGCCATTGCTAACATTAACGAGTTTGACTGTCGTGTAAGCGGAACAGGTCAACTTTGGCCTGTTCGTGCTGTGCATAATTGATTCACGCGATCATTAATCGGAATAACTATACATGTGGTGTGAATGTGTATATGAATGGTGCGAATAGTCCACCAGGGTGCTTGGTACCTGTGTGGTTGCGCCACAGGATTGAGCTGTACTATTCAGATTGTAGCGTTAAAGCCTGTACGGTGTCTGGTCCCCTTGCTAAACGGGGTTGAGCTGTACTGTTTGGGTTTTTACGTAAAAGTCCGGATGGTGTCTGGTTCTCCTGAAAACCGATGTAAAATTACCCTGACCCACAAGGGTATATTATATATATAATAAAAGACTGTTTTTCTGTCAGTTATAAATAATATGAAACTGATATGAAAATTTATCATTCCAAATTCCATATATTTCACACTTAACGCAGCAGGAGATAATTCACCATACGATTATCTGATAAGCCGTTCATCAGGCCTGTATTTTCGTGTAACTGATGAAACTTACATTTTTTAACATATTCAAATCTTCTGAAATGATGCGACGAGAATTTAGTTAAATGTTCTTATATTCTATGTAGTTGAACTGCCTCCGGCATCCTTCAATGATCTTCGACCCCAGGACTGGCATCAGGCCTTTATGGATCAAGTAAATCATCGTGAACATATGCTCCTGTGTATTTATACTTCAAAACAAAATCAAAATTCAAACACTCAAAATCAACACAGCGTATATTTATCCAGTTCAGTATCGGAATCAGTACTTGAGAATTCGTTAACTAGTGTTTTTGTACAACAAGATGCTTTCAAACATCAAAATTCTATTAATCCTATTCATCGTGAAAGTTCTGCAACATTTTTTTCAAAGCCAATATCGAGAAATGGTAGTTTGTGTGAACCTTATTCGACAAATACTTTAACCCCTAATATTTCAACTGGTCAAAGTTCCAAAGGAAAAACGTCACTCGTTCAACTGCCAAAATTAGAAATAAACCCTCCGTATATTTTGGTGTTTCCACCATGTACTCCCAATTGCTCAACAGAAGGTAAATTACCATTGCCTTTTATTTTTGTGGATTTCTTATGAACTAGTTTTTGTCGAACTTTACCCAGTGGTATTTATGCTCCCCTAAGCGTTTAGATTTATTTTGAATAGTACATCTGATAAACTTTCAGTCGTAATTCTGTGTTATCTACTGAGTTTTGGAATAAACCTTTTGCTTTGGAGTGAGTTCAGATTAAAGGAAGTTTAGTTGAGTTTTATCTTAAATATGCGGAAATAAAGGGAAATCTCATGAACATACAGCTATTTGAAGTGATTTTCACTGATCTTTTAAAGTATAAAGTTTATTTTTTAATGAAAATATTTTAGATTTTAAAGTTTTATCGTATTTCAGTGTACTTCTTATTAGTGGTGGGAGGAGTATAACTAACCTAATAGAATATTGCAGAAGTCAGTTGAGTCACAATATCCTTAATAATTTTCAAACAATGCAAGAAAATCATTGTTAAATTGCCTTTATTTTCTTTTGTTACTGGTATGGTTTCCTTTCATTGTTTATATATTTATTACCTAAACATAAGCAGTGCATAGATTTCTTTGTAGCATAATTATTTCTCATCGATTTTCACGCCTTTTAACTTCCATTACTATGACCCTTTGCTTTTCATCCGCTGATTATTTAGTGTCAATATCCACCGGTTACCGCAACAACATTTTAAATATACCAACCTATGTGTTATATCATTTGCCAGCATTCACTTAGATACATAAAATCATTTTGAATAACTCACGATCATAAATCTATTTTACATTCAGAGCACTAATTAGAGATTAGAATGAGAATCATTTTTGGTCTGTTTATACAAATAAATCGAAGCTCACTAGTTTTAACAACTAGGCTATAAACCATTGATTCAAATCCCACTGTATATACATACGTTTGGATATGACAAAGCATTATTATCTCTTAAAAATATATATTATTAGCAGCCTATACACAGGAAAATACTGTTGCAAATTTTCAGTGAGTTACTATCTCACAACAGACCTGGTTGCACTCCACTGGTCACTGGCAAAGTTTGTTATGGAATAGATGGGATGTGGCTAGCTGTGGAACACAGGATGCGCTGGATGTATCCATCTGGAATCAGTAGCTAAGCAGGTTACGCTATGGAGTTTGAAGCAAATGGTACTGGATTCAAAGCCCAGAGTGAACAACAACTCTAGGATGCAGGTACATCTAGCTCACGACTCATAGATAGGACAAAACACACGTTTTTGATTCCACATCTAGCCACATTCCATCTTTATATATATGATTACATCACTTTTTAATATCTAAACATTTCTCCCCTACTTCTAGCTCAATTTTCTGTGAGCTTAAAACCAAGTTCACCTAGTGAAGATGAAACGTCTTCCTTGTCATTATGGAAAGTGTTTTGGTCGGCAAATCCTGTAACTGGAATACAACTGCGAAATATTACTTCAAATTCCTCTTATCCACTTAACAAACGGTCTACCATGGAACAAGGTATCTTTCAGTTGTTACCTTCTAAATCGAATTCACTCAATCAACACAGCATTAATAATAAGTCAGTCAGCAGTGTTGGCATTTTATCAACCAATGCTAATAACACGGAATTTCGTTCATTTTTAATACCTTTTCGTTTCAAACCCACTTCATATTGTGAAAATATTTTAACTCAAGATTGGCATTTGGATTTTTGGCTAGAACCATGTATACAGAGCCAATGTCATTTTATATCTAAATGCAATTTAAAAGATTCAGTCACACTTCTAGTCACTTTAGAAGGTTCGGTAAGATAAGAATTTGGTATTTCGTACTATTATATATATCGATGTTTGAAGTTCTTTCAATTCATGTCCAAATAACTATTTCGTTCTCCAATTACTCATTTGAATTTTTTTATCTTGTAAAAATAATTATTATGTAATTAGCAATTTTATAAATGAAACTACTTTAAATAACCACTAAGAAGCAGGAAGCACTGGACAGCTTTCTTGTTCCAACATAGGAAGCCCCAGCAGCACACATCCATGAATAAGCCGATGGGGATCTAATCTAGCACCTTCTATCTCGCTTGCAATGTTAATCCTTAGACCACTGAACCGAAATCGAATGATATGTTAGTCTAACTTAAGTTGGTTCACGATATCAATAGTATTCAATAATCTCCTAAAACTCCTATTCTGATAATTACATGGTTGTCTTACAAAGCACATTGACTATTTAATCTTTCGAGTATATTCATCACTCACTAAGTTTCACGTCAGAATATCTGTGTTTTGTCATCAGCTGTTTCACGGATTGACAAATATATATTCCGATTGAACAATGAGAAGACGGAGTTGATCTGAAAAATGTGATGTATTTGCGCTATACATTTCGAACAATCTGGTCACATATACTTGTCAAGGCATTTTAATAAAGGTCAAACAAACAAATAAAAGTACAACTAAAATAACTAAGGGGGGGAGAAAGAAGAATAAATTGTCGCGTTATCCTAGGCCATAGAATGACTTAAGGATTACCAAGGTAAATTCAGATTGTTCGAAATGTATAGCGCAAATACATCACATTTTTCAGATCAACTCCGTCTTCTCATTGTTCTATCGAAATTTATAAAAGGGACTAATTGCTTTAAATATATATTCAATAATCACTGTACATATATACATAGAATCCACACTGTATGACTTACAACGTCCATTATGGAAGAAATTTGTGTAGTGTATTTGTCTAACACCAACTTGGTTTGAGCAATAATCCTGGTTATAGCTAAAGGAAATGAGGAATAAACTTGAAACACTTTCTTTCTAAATGTAATGAAGTCCAGTTAGTTGGAAACATTGAATGGTATAACAATAAGGCTTTTTGTTAATGAAACAACAATCTGCTCTTAATGATATATTTAAGAATTCTTTCGTGTTTAGTGCACGTCTATTGAGTTTTCGTCTTCGTCCATTGTACTGCTGTGTTTGAGAAGTTATACCGTTTAAATGCATCTCATACTCCTAGTTCCAGTGAAACAATTCATGGGATTTTCTTTAATTGCTCTTTCGTTATTATACGTTTTACCTGATACTAGTGTAATGGTTGACTTTTCATTATATATATTTTTCTAAATTTGTTAACCCTTTTTATAGTGTCATGATCAAGCAACAAGGAAAGAATCACTCACATACCTGCAAAGCATAGGCGACTACAAGTTAAAATACCCTCTTCCGAAGTCTCAATGTTTTAATGATCGTACTTCGTTGATGATTGATGAAAACACTTTGAAAACGGTTCATATTGGTCCGATTGATGTGATTGGCCTACCAGTTTCTTTTGATACTATAGACTCCAATTCTTCAATAACCTCTCGTTCTCACAATGTAAGTTCGTCAAATAAAGTACACACCTGTTTATCCTACGGTGTACTGCGTTGTTACTGAGTGACTTTCATCTTACAATTCACTCTCATTTTATGCTTTATTTTAGATTATGTTGATCAATCGAATGAAGACAGCTGAAGCATTCGTCAGATTGAAACTTCCAAGACCACCATTCTACGTTATGGAGCCCAAGGAAATAAGGTTTCGTATATCGTAAGCTCGTGTTCTATAATCCTATTTAATTCCATGCTTGGGACAGCTATCTTTTTTGTTCATTAGGAAGATATACTTTTGTAGTTAGCTTAATCCATTTATTCTTTCACTCTGTCATGTGATCATGACTTGGTCAGTACGATAATCTTGCTAGTTTCTAGGTGGAAAACTAGTTTTATGACTATTCTAGTATTTTTTTCTATTACATCAATATTTCTTGAAACTAGTTCTGTGACTAGGTCGTTTTACTATGAGTAAGTGATGCTGCCATCTCAAGTAATTATCGTTATCCAAGTACTCTTGAATGGGTTTCATCATGATAATAAATACACTGAATATTCTTCCCATATCTTTTGAAATATTTAGACGGCATTTCACACTAGTCAGTTGTAGGTTAGTCGACTATAGTAAAATTGAACGTTGGATTAGAAAACCCAGATTGTTCGTCTATGTCAGTTTCTCTAAGAGAAAATTTAACCGGAAGACTATTGACTTACTTACGCCTGTTACTCCCAATGGAGCATAGGCTGCCGACCAGCAATCTCCAGCCCACTCTGTCCTGAGCCTTTCTTTCTAGTTCTATCCAATTCTTGTTAATTTTTCTCATATCTGTCTCCATTTCTCGACGTAATGTGATCTTTGGTTTTCCTCTTTTCCTTTGGCCTTGAGAATTCCATGTGGGGGGTTGCCTTGTAATGCAGTTCGGTGCTTTCCTCAATGTGTGTCCTATCAACTTCCAGCGCTTCTTCCTGATTTATTCGTCCGCTGGGATCTGGTTTGTTCTCTTCCATAGTAGGTCGTTGCTGATTGTGTCTGGCCAACGGATCCGAAGTACTTTGCGTAAACACTTGTATCTCCTGAATGATGGCTTTCGTAGTTCTCCAGGTTTCCGCCCCCATACAGTAGAACTGTCTCGACATTTGTTTGTTTATTTCCGTGTATTCAGCTTGCGCCTTGGCTTTTTCTGCTCTTGTTCGGCTGGTATTGATCGCTCTATATGCCTATGGAAATTACCTTTCTCGCTTTGAAAAACAAACGATTGATTCAGATTATTATCATTACAATTATTGTCATTATTAATACTAATATTATTATTACTACTATTATTGCCATTATTGTTATTATTATCATTATTATTATTATTTTCCACATTATTCACCCTCTTTTATACCTATACAGCGGCTCGTCTTTGGTGGAAATCCGACTGTATCTAAACGTTCTCGAGTCACTGTCCGGTTGAAAATTGTATGTTACCACCGAATACGAGGACTGAAGCAGATTTTCTGAAACCACGTGCACCATTCAAACTGGCTGCCTTCAACGTTCGCACACTTATGCAGGTTGGATAACAGATAGGGCTGGGTATGTCTTTGGAAAGCCTTAATATCGATGTCTGCTGTCTATCCGAGACCCGTATTCAAGACTCTGGTGAAGTACTACAAATTCGCTCTTCATCTGTCGCTTCAAAAAGATTGTTTTACGTGTTTTTCCGTGGACCCTGTGGCACCTTTGTCTGGTCTTGCTCGCCTTGGTGTCGCACTAAGCGCTAGAGCTGAGGCAGCACTAAGCGATTGGATCCCCATTAACAGTCAGTTATGTGCTGTTAAATTAGAAAGTTCCATCAAAGTGAGAAGAAATCGACGTGAGAAACGATGTCTCTTCGTCATCTCCGCCTATGCCCCGACAGATTGCAGCCCGGATGCAATCAAGCATGAATTCTATCACCAGTTAACTGTTCTTCTCCAGAAAGTGCGTTCGACAGATGTTGTAGTACTAGCCGGAGACTTGAATGCTCAGGTCGGGCGTCTAGGCACAGAAGAGAGTCGTTTAGGTGGCCGATGGGGACTCGTTGGTCGCAGGTCAGATAACGGGGACCGTCTACTGCAACTGTGCACAGACCACAACCTGTTTCTGGCTAGCATTAACTTTCGGCACAGTCATCGCCGATGTGCCACCTGGCGTCCTCCCTCTGCATCTCAAGCCTGGACTCAGATTGATCACATCGCGATCAGCTACCGCTGGCGTGGTTGTGTACAAGATTGCCGCTCCTTTCGGAGTACCTATCTGGACTCTGACCATGCCTTGGTCTGCGCCAATCTTACCTTACTTTTCAGTGGACAACGAAGTGACCGCCACCAACGGATTGATGTTAGCAAGCTGGTTGCAACTTCTGTTGCAAGTAAGTATCGAACCGAGCTAGCTTCTAGGCTAGCTACCATTCCACCGAAAAGTATAGATGAGCATTGGTCGCAATTGCATGACCCCATCAAAATGGCGGCTAGTCATTTGTGGGTTCGCGAAACGTCCCGCTTATAAGCACTGGGTTTCTTCTGGTTCCTTACAACTCATTGAAGCCCGTCGATCTACTCCGGGTGACCGTGAGTTTGACCATAAACGAAGGATGTTACGTAAGGAAATTGGGAAAAGCTTGCGTAAGGAACGAGAAGCCTGGTGGTCGATGCGTGCTAATGAGCTGGAAGCAGCAGCTGCATCTGGTAATTACTGGAAGCACTTCCAACTCATCCGAGCCACTGGCAGCAAGAAGTCTGGTGTGAGTGAAACAATCTGCGAGGATGATGGGATGCCAATCACTAACATCCATCGACGTCTTGGAAGATGGGCAGAATTTTTCGAAGGGCAGCTCAACTGGCCTGCTGCTCCGGCAACGTCGGTCAAACTGTCCTGCCCTCCATGGCCGGTGACGACTGATACACCAAATGAGGAGGAAGTCCGCAAGGAACTCCAACTCTTGAAGCGTTACAAATCACCTGGCCCAGATGACTTACCTCCGGCTCTTTTTAAAGATGGTGGTGACTTTTTGACTAAGGAATTGACGACGTTGTTTACAAAGGTTTGGAAACTAGAGAGTGCACCAACGTCATGGAATGAGTCGATAGTTGTCCCTATCTTTAAAAAGGGTTCACGTCGTTCCTGTAACAACTATCGGGGGATAAGTCTACTTCCGATTGCGTCCAAGCTATTGGCTTCCGTCATTCTTCGTAGGTTGTTCAAAACCCGAGAAAGATTGACTCGCGAGGAGCAGGCTGGGTTTCGTTCTGGTCGAGGATGTATTGATTATATCTTCACCCTCCGCCAAATGTTAGAACACCGTCATACTTTTCAAAGGCCAACAATCGTAGTGTCTCTTGACATCAGGGCTGAATTCAATTCGTTGAACAGGACTGTTCTCTGGGATTGTCTATTGAAGTAGGTTGTGCCTGAGAAGTTTACTAACATCCTAAAAGACCTATATACAAACACCTCAGGCAGAGTGGGGGCATACAACCACCTCTCTCCATTGTTCCATTCGAGTAGTGGTGTTAGGCAGGGTTGCCCAGTCTCACCATTCCTCTTCAACTTTGCCATCGACGACATTCTGGGAACAGCTCTGATGGATGTAAGTAATGGCGGCGTAGATCTGTTGCCCGGAGAAAGATTTCTCGACCTTGAGTATGCGGATGATATTGTCTTACTGAGCGATAATGCCCAAGCCATGCAATCCGCACTTAATCAGTTGGCAATCAGTGTCCGTAGGTATGGTATGTGCTTTGCACCTTTGAAGTGCAAAGTACTTCTACAAGACTGGCAGGATTCCAATCCTGTACTCACTCTGGATGGTGAGCAGATAGAAGTAGTCGAGAAGTTCGTGGATCTAGGTAGCTGCATAAGTGCTGGTGGGGATGTGAGTGGTGAGATCAATGCACGTATAGTGAAAGCCAGAGTGGCTTATGACAATCTGGGCCTTCTTCGGCGCCTTCGTGGTGTCAGTCTGGCTGTAAAAGGTCGGATCTAAAACGCGTCGGTGAGAGCAGTTTTGCTCTATGCTTGTGAAACCTGGGCTCTTCGAGTTGAGGATGTTAGACGACTCTCTGTGTTCGATCATCGTTGTCTCCGAAGGATTGCTGACATTCAGTGGCAACACCACGTCAGTAATGCAGAGGTTCGGCATCGTGTGTTCGGGCACAGAGATGATAATTCAATTGGTGTTACCATCTTGAAACACCGACTTCGGTGGCTTGGACATGTTCTACGAATGTCATCCCAGAGAATTCCACGTCGTGCATTATTTGCTGACGCTGGGACTGGTTGGAAAAAGCGGAGAGGTGGTCAGTGCATGACATGGTGTCGTGGCATGAAAGAAAGCTGCAAAGGACTGGCTTGTGTTGGTCCTTCACGACTCTCTGGTTGGGGTCCGAGAGATGGTGCAACACAGTGGCCAGAGACGTTATCAGATATGGCTCAGAATAGAAGCCAGTGGCGATCCTGCTGTAACCTTCTTTTACTTTCTTCATAAAAAGTGGTTGTGTCTCCTTTACTTGAAAGATTTCTTCTGATTGTACCTTTTCGTTCCGTCGTTACTACCACACTACCTTACTCCAATCTCTTCGTCATTGTTCTCTTTTTCTTTTGCGTTCCTTAGTTTTTTTTTCTTTTCTCTTTCTACTTCTCTTCGAATTCCCATTGTTTTGTGTGGCGCATATATATTGGCGCTCTCTTGTACCAATATTTATGTGTTCAAATAAATAAATAAATAAAATTGATCGCTGCCTTCTTCCTTGAATCTTATCCAGTGTATCAACAGTGATCCATTCCTTGTGGTGGTGCTTCTTGTGACTCAGGACCTCATGACATGTTGAAGTGATTGCCTCTTTGATCCCCTTCCAGTTGCTCTCCACAGTAGTTACTTCTCCATTGAGTAGATCATGAAAGGCCTGGAACTTATTGCTGAGGACTATCTTGAATTTGTTGAGTTTGTTAGTATCCTGGAGAAAGGCGGTATTGAACTTTTGTGGTACTGTCCGCCCCGTTGTCCAGTGCTTCTTGAGTTTCAATTTCATCTTGGCGACCAGCAAGTGATGATCTGATGCTGTATCAGCTCCTCTCTTGGTTCTCACGTCCTTTATAGTCCTCCTGAACGTTTTGTTGATGCAAATATGGTCGATTTGGGTTTGTGTAGAGTGATCCGGTGAAGTCCATGTGGTTTTGTGTATGCGTTTATGTGGGAATATGGTGCCGCCTATGACCAGTTTACTGAAGGCACATAGATTTGCAAATCTCTCACCATTTTCGTTCCTTTCTTCCAGTCTGTGTCGTCCCATGATGTCTTCATATCCAGTGTTGTTCGTTCCAAACTTGGCGTTGAAATCTCCCATCAGAATAGTCAGGTCCTTTGTTGGGCACTTCTCGACGATTGGCTGCAGCTTATCGTAAAATTAATGTTTAACGTCTTCATTGTAGTCGTTGTTAGGCGCATAGCATTGGATGACGATCATTGTAAAGCCCTCTCTCCTTGTTTTTGAATCAGGCTTTGGTGATTATTGGTCCTTAAGATTCCCATCCTATAAGTGCATTTTGTGCTTGTTTGGATAGCATCAGTGCAACTTCTTGTGTTTGTAGAGCATTTTCTTCTTCATAGCCGAAATATAACAGAAGCTCCCTTGAAGCTAGTCGTTGTTGTCCAACCTGCGTCTGATGTGTTTCAGTGATTCCAAGAATATCCAGGTTGTATCTTTTCATTTTTCACATTGTACGAGCATTCCATGTACCTAAATAAATGGTTGCTCTAGTTGGGGGCATCAGCCTCGTGGCTTCCGAAGGAACTTGGCTTTCATTATGAGGCGTCATAACTCTTCTAAATGAAGACCTTCTGACTCCCAGGGTAGAGTTTAAGTGGTTTGAATAATTTTTTCTGTCTAGCGTCTTTTTAGAGAGTTAGTTTTATACAGAATTTAGTCGCTAACCCCATGCCCAACCCTCCTTTGCCCGGACTGGGGATTGGTAGTACCTCCGAGGGGCTCAAGGCGGAGTTAATCGGAACACTATAAATTATGCAAATGCAAATGGACACTTGGCAATCGAGTGATAAATAAGTGATATACTTGTAATATCCCGAGGGGTAGAAAATCTAACTTTTTCTACTCATCGGGATATTACAAATATATTATTTATTTAAAACAATCTACCCAATGCTCAGTTTATTCGACATTATCAAGTCAAACCTTAGTAATGATACCTGAATTCAAGTGATAAATTTGAAGCTTTTGTTTTTGAAATATTGGTGGCTAATAACCTGAACTTAATGTTTCTCTTTCACAATTTATAATTTGTTTTACCATTTTGAACACTAGACCTCGTTCCCGTGTACGAATAGTGCTTAACTTTCGACCATACACACTAGGAAAATCAAGTTCCGTTCTGGGAATTAGTGTTGAATATCACAAACAAGAAAATTTATCTATGGAAAAACCCTATTTTAATGTCAAACCAATTATCGAATCTTTCCAAGTTCACTTATTCGGTACAATGAATTAACTTCAAATCTTTCTTATTCCTTGTATTTTACAACTGTATGTCCTTACTCCTGATTTTTATGTATATTTAATATTTCATACACATAGTTACATTCTTAATCTTGAAGCGCGCAAGAAGAGAATAATATGAATTCATTTTATTTCGTTTGGTTGTCGTCAGCTGCGTACAACCTAAAATTTAAAAATCATCATAAACATAATAAGCTATGAAATAATGCTACACATAGTGCATTAGACGACATCCAACGCCTAGGTTTAAATGAAATGCTAAGCTCTGAGTAGTCCATGTGAAAAATGGTCTTCCGAAAATTTTCTTGTACCTCATTGACCTATAGTTAGCTGAAAAAATTTTGCATAACACGCCAAGTGGGTGGGAAATTTATGCATCAGCGGCAATAAGGGAAGTCGAATCCAATGTGACTATGGTCTAGGATTGACGAGGCAGTGAATCATCATCGATTGTAATGGTTAAAACATGTATTCTCGACGCGTGATAATGGCTGGTGTAGGTGTATTCTAGGAGCGGCCAAACCAAGAATAAGTATCAATCCGCGGAAACACTAACGGACTAAAACATATAGATAAGTGCAGACTACCTGAGTGAGGTCTGCTTGAATATCGCAACGAAAGAATAGCGACCTTGGGTGACATGGTTTAGTATATTTCGCAATGGGGCAGATTAATTCAACCATTTTTACCCCTCTTAGTTCCTAGGTTCCCAAGTTACCTACTAAATTTTTTTTATTCTACTGATCCACACTTATTCGAATCGTAACTTCGTTACTAATTCTACTCATGGATTCGTCTTAACAATTTCATCTCTCTACGTCTGACTGATGCTTTAGGATTAAATTTGTGGTCGGTCAATGGTTCAGAAGCCTACAGACCTGAATAATTAAGCTGTTATTGCCATTAAAGTCCTACGATAACTCGTGAGTCAATAATCTATGCGCATGAGACATTGTCACTACAAAAAAACCTCACCAATGACATCAAAGTTTCCGGGATTTGTTATTAGCGTCTTGAGTTTGGTACCTCTACCTTATTACTCAAACTAGTAAATGTGAACCAAGAAAGCAATTGCACCTTTTGGGTAACTAAGTATTTAACTGAGTAAATGCGAACGAGTTTTCGGCAACAGTGCATGGCTTTACTGGCTCGGTCATTTGACGAACTTAGTGGTGTAATGTTCTTGGAATTATCTTCCAATATTTATGAAGGGCAAAGCTAACGAACAAAGAAGTAATGAGGGATATGCCAGTCTATTGGTTTATTAGCAAAAAAGTAACCTAACTAAGTGATGCGGACAGGATATGTTGCCCCCATTTCACTCGGTTTAGAGCAAAATCACAGGGGTTTCTCACTATGGCTAACACCAGCCGGTAGACCTACATGGTTCCTAAGAACAGCCAGCGAATTCTACAAGAGGACCTTAGTTTGATAGCTTGGCTTTTTCTATAGACGAAATCGGACATCAAGGTGCCCAATCTCATATGATTATTTAAACAAACTCTCTGTACCAAAACCAAGGGATATGAATTTTAAAATGCTCATCAGTGAGTAATTGTTTTGAAGTGTTTTAAAATAAGCACAAAATACAGTTTTTTATTCACAGGCGAAGAAAATTCTCCCTTTTTCACGAGCTTTATTTAGTTTCTTTGAAAGTTTTTTCGTTCTTCTTGCTTGAATATTGGTAGTTCTTTTAACCTGTCTCTCACGTTTCTTTTCTTCATTAGCCTCTATACGCTTCTTCCAGTTTTTAGCTCGTTTCCGTTTGAGTTTATGTACTTTATCAGCTGCCCTTTTCAAAAGTGACATGTCATCTTTAACCTTCACACCTGAAATGATAAAAATTAATTCATAGCATCAGTATACCTTGAGCTCTGAGTGATGCAATTTTCCACTTTTTGCGAATGATATCAACGGATGTCAGATCTGCATTGTTAGTTTCTGATTTCGGACTCTTGTTAGCTTTTTTCAACAATTTTATTGGGTCTCTGCCAACAAATATACCCTGCTTCTCAAGTTTAGCTAGTTTTCTCCTATTTTTCTTTTGAATTTGCTTTTGAATCCCGTAATTTATGATTTCATTAGGGTCGTAAAGCTGAATCTTAGAGAAATAATATTTCTCAGGATTTACTGGTGTCATATAGAGGCGTCAAAGAATGGTAGAATTATTGCCTCAGTTTGTGGTTCTCACTACTAAAAGGAGGAAAAATAACACATCCATAACCTGACTTGAAAATAACTTTTAAGATCCCAACAATATTTACTGTGTTTATTCAAAACTGGTAATAACTTACTTCAGCTATACTAGTGACATTTATTTGTAGTATAGAAATATCTATTTATTTACAAGACAAAAACACGGACTGCTAAGCAATGTCATAACTTCAAAGGAACAGGAAAACTGAAGAAATTATGAGGTAAATTTTTGATCAGGATGATTTCTCACACATAATGCACACTTTGGTGTTTATGAAGAACACATCAGGAAACTACTACAACATTATTAACGTTTATACCGAATAATATCTAATGAGGCGGAGTGTTCGCACTCTATTTACCTTAAATATTTCCAGAAAGCTGTCGTAAAATTAAATGTTAGGGACGTACTCTTCTGAAATAACCCAACGTATAGACGCAAACATAAATTATACGACACAGGCGATCGAATACTTTGATAATACAGTCGCCGTATATTATTATCTTAAAAATACTTCATAAACCCACTTTCTACGGAAGCTAGCAACTTGATCTCAGAAATAAGCCTGTGATAATGAACATCAAGAGACCTACTGATCTAACAGTATCAAATTTTTCCACGGTTTTTTTGACAACTTTATGTTATCATCAAATCTCTTGTTATGTTGAAGAAATATAGATCCCTTTTACATCGTCTATATTCTGTTGAAAAGTCCCGTCAGAGATAACACTGATGTAAAATTTGAATACACGTGTTACGGATGCTTATATTTTTATGCATTCATCTCAGTAATAAGACAAACAGATGATGAACAGAGAAAACAAATGTGCCTACTCAAAAGATAATGTGTAGACTGAGATTGGATAGAAGTTTACAAAAACAAACAAATACATGAGACGTATAAATGTAGAACTACTAAGACGTGAATATGAAATATAAGTACTGAAGGTCACGATTTCCTATAAAAAATGGTATTTAGTAATATAAAAATGACGCAGTTGTCATATATTGTCACTGGAGTCTGTCTAAAAGTTGGGACCAGCCACTCGTAATAAAATAGCTGCTAGGACCGCTGCTTTTAGATCTCGCCCATGCAAAAACCCAAACAGCCGTATATATATAATACTGTTGACTATTTTAGAATCTCGCCGTGTTAATTTGATGTGGGAACTGATGCACATAAATGCTAGATTTTACGCTGTGAAGACTGATTATTGCCCTATGTCGGCGAAACCGGAAAGACTTAGTGTGTCATTACTGCCGAGTTGAAGCAGCTTCGACTCATTTTGGACTTAACAAATCCTGACTGTTAATCAAACAACGTAGACAATGGCACGTGTGCACATCTGTCCAAGTTACTACATCCCATTAGCAGAGCGAGATTAAATTGTCAGGACGAGTCCCAGAGCATCGAGGTACTTATAGTATTGGTGGTAACATGAGGAGATAGGCACTGAAAAAACGATCTGTGAAATTAGAAAAAAATATGACGGATTTGGAAAGTTAGAAACTACGGGAAGACAAATGGTGAATGCAAATGAGTCCTATACAAAGTCAGATGATGACATGAAATACCTTTGTACACTGTTGCATAGGCGAACGGATAAACCACTTTTTGATAAAGCATTGAGCATAAAAATGCGACTTTCGGCATACGGTTATCTGGGTCGCAACATCATAAAGCGAGACACGGATAATAACGAGTTCATTTTCTTGTTGAAAATAGCGTTACATGTTTCGCTTAATTATAAGCATATATAATGATACGGCTTAGACTTTACAACAATATGAACTTTCTGAGTTTGTTAGTCAGGTCATCCTGATATGCGCGAGTTTCACGTTGTAAGGTTAAACAAACAGATACCCCATATGTTGTCTCTTTTATTGCCCTATGGTTATTTGTTTGACAAGTCATCTATGTAGCAGTGTCGAATTCGTGTATATTCAGTTAAGGAGCGTAATTCTGGCAGTAAAGTCATAATGGAGTCGTTGGTGAAAACAAATATGTGAAATGAGGAGAATGGAATGGAAACACGTGTAGTACAGTACGATTTTATATTAAACAACAAAATCTAGGAACCCAACATTAAATATTCTACGTGATCTTTCTGCTCTCTACTTTGACAATTAAAATACATTTTATCCCTTCGAGACTGAAAAAAACAGTCATGAGCTTCAGTAATAAGTTTTCATTGAACAACATCACCATAAAAACCAATGGGAGAGCTGTGAAAAAACTGAAAGAAACTTTTGCTAATTCAAGGTCATATGTATATATATATATATATCACGATTTTTGGCTGACAATTCCTATTGCTTTTCGAAACATGCTGATCTTATCGTATCCAAAAACATATAGTTAACTATGATAGATTTCACACCGTTTATTTGTAACCTAATAGATCTAGTTCCGAAAAATTCAAACTGTTCTGGACGGGATAGAAGCTTTCACCTCACATGATTCCGCATCTAGTAGCAATCATCAACGTCGATTATCTCTGTCTAGTGATTGTGGGCCATTTCGAGTTAGACGTGACCAACACCTAACGACGAAATCACGCCTCGTGGTTAGTACCTAACGTCTATTACCTCTTTGTCGTATCAAGGTACTATGGATTTTTTGAATACCGTACAGCATAGAGCACACTATTTCAGACATATACTACTTAACATAGGTACAAGCGAAATTGTAACTACCAAATTGTAACGCCCCATGGGTCTACAATTAATTGATGCGCGTTCGTTGTCCTTGAACTTGGCAGGGATCGATGATCTGTTGGACATTCAGTGACCCGACTGCCGGGTGGTTTGGCTATGGCTCAGCAACATTTCAGAAGCCCTAAAAAAGGATGTCCATAAGTTTTCGGGATGCCGTAAGTCATTAGAATATCACCTCTAAGACGCCCGTACTCTAATGTGTAAAGGTTCGGTGATTGGAGGCGCTCTTCATAAGACTTGAGTTTAAGCCCACAAACTGATTTCGAGGCTCGCCGTTGTATTCGTTCTAGAGCGTCCTTATCTTTTTAAGGTGAGCGAGGAAAAACAATGTTTCCGTATTCTAACTGGGGTCAAAAAAACCGTTGCACATTATATGGAAAACTCGACTGTTGAACTGGTCATAAATGTGCTTCATCATCAACATTGCAAGGTTTGCTCGAAAATAATTTTCGTCGCATTTAGACTAAAACTTCAAGTTATATGGCACCAACGCTTCTATATCTTTTTCAACCTCTAGAGCGGAGTTACCTTAAGTTGTAATTGTAGTCTGCATAAAATCCGAGACGGACTGCCTAACACCTTGTTGTGCTAAAGGTAAGTTCGTTGAAGACGAGTCACATCCCCTTCAAGTGCCAGGTTATCCCCTTGATCACCTACTCTTCCTCAGAATTCCATATAACCTGTGGAAAGTAAGATATCTGACGATACATTCGGCGGAGGATTTTTTATATAAATCAAGAGAATAAGAGGTCCTAGTACTGAATCCTGGGGGACTACGTTAGGACATTCCCCAGCTTGAAAGCAAGAGAAGTTAACCCTGAGCCTAAAATAAAAAGTTTTTAGATATGAAGTGGGTCTATCAATTAAAGGTGATTTGGTAACTTATCGTTTGATTTCATTGAAATGAGATATATGGCTGAACCTATCAAAGCTTTTGAGAAACTGTGCTATTGGGGAGAAAAGAAGTTAATTGATAGTAAGTAGCAGTGTATTAGTGCGTGTCAGAGATTCCATAACTTTTGGGGTTATACAAATAAGTGATATCAGCCGGTAGCATGAAGGTTCGCTCTGTCAACCTCCTTTGAAAATTGTTGTTTTACGAGCCAGCTTCCAATTCTTTTGCAATGCACCTCGTTTCAGCGAATATGAGAAATCATGCTAATCAGTGTTGAGGAGATTAAAGCTTCTTCCCTCAGTATAGCAGAATGGACCATATCTAGGCTTTGATATGGAAAATGAATAAAAGACTATGTTTCTAAATTTCACCATCAATAATGAACTTATTTTTCAATTTACTGCAGTGAAAATTATTCTAGATGATATCTCGACCAAATGACTTCGCTCCTGATTCATTCCCCGTGGTGTCTCTAGATGCTCTCCCACTATCGAGTCAAGTCAAAGAGCTGTTATAGGCTAAATTATTTGCTATGAATGCGAAACTTCACTTCTTATTAGTGGCGATTCCCGCAGTTATATGTCAGTCTTGAGTCTTTATATATACAAATGCCACAGGAAGTTTTACTAAACATCTCATTAGCATGTAACACCTTTATAATCGAACGATACCAATCCAGTCAATAAGTAGTCCGAAATGAAGAAATTCAAAAATATGTCCAGAAAGTTATTTAAAAGTCGAAAAGCTAGCAGTCGAAAAGGGATGAGAAGCATAGCGTACTCACTCATGAGCTGGTGCAAGTGTGTGACCTAGCGCCTCCAGCTAGGGTGTATCTAGTAAAAACAATGAGTTTCAGGATCAATGTCGGAGACCTACAGAACTATTGATTTTGGGGGATTTATTTACCTCTGCAGATGTGAGGATATTGTCTCGGGTATCATCTCTTGGTAGTGATAATATCTCTCTTTATAATGTTTGTCAGTGACATAATAAAATTATCCGTTGGGAGTACTCATGGCTTCTTTCTGGTAAGAGTGCTCTACGAATATGTTAACATTGGAGTGATAGTAAATAAATCACCTTTTAAGCTATTAGAAAAGTTTTCAATATGACTTGTTGTCGAATATTACTTTTTTGACATCGACGTACTTAATCCATGATTTAAAGGCACTGGTTCATGACAAAATAATAACTCAGATATTTGATAGTAGAATTCAATTTTGATAAACCTTAGGTCGATCTTGTCGTCAGAGGGATAGTGCACAAACTTTAATCAGTATTTATTTTCATCCATCATGCCTGATATGTACTTGGAAAAAAGGTGCAATTTTAGGAGTACATTTACTAGGGTGATCTTTAAATAAAAATTACTGTAGAATTTACTAGGACAGTGTTCGAGTAGATTTTTCACATTATACTGGTAGACGACGGAAATGGATGAGACATACATTACGCAAATCGTCAAACTGCATCACGAGGCAAGCCCTCACTTGGAATCCTGAAGGGAAGCGAAAAAGAGGAAGGCCAAAGAACACATTTCGTCGGATAATAGAAGCAGATATGAAAACGATGAATTACAACTGGACGGAGCTAGAAAGGATTGCCCAGGACAGAGTTGGATGGAGAATGCTGGTGAGCGGCCAATCCTCTTTCACGAGGAGTAACAGGCGTAAGTAAGTAAGTAAGTACTGGTAGACTGAACAGCTTTCAACTGTCAGATGATCCGGTGGGCACTGCACTTTGGTTTGTTTGTGTGGCTGTAAAATGGTCATCGAAATAAACAGTTCCGTTGGCTTTTATCGTTGATGCAAACGTTGTTGGTTTTTCCAGAAACACTTTTAGTTGAACGCCCTCAAATAAGTATACACGCTGGACCTCATTTGAGTATGATGTGTGGCTCACGACTTGGTTTGAAAGTAAAGCCACCCAAAACCACAAGGGAGTCCAATACACAACTTTTCCTACCTCATCTGTTCAAACGTTGGAAGAAATCTACCTACTGAGTATAAAATGTCACTTTACACAAAAACAAATAAAACAAAAACTTCCACGAGAGTCACTTGTGTTTATGTTCTGACACAGCTTTTATCCGTAACAGCTTTGGATTCTGAAGATTCAGGATCCAGACAAATCAGAAATAGTTCGAAGATATATCTAGAAAGCTGTCGACATATGAGATGTTTGGTTTAAGGCAGTTAATAATAGGCGGACGTGCTTAGTAAAACATACCTCATAACGATCTGGTGCCAATTCGTGACCGGTCGCCTTCAGTTTGCATGTTTCATTTAAAAGAAAAGAGGTCATCAATAAAGTCGTAGAATCGCAGGACAATTTTATTTTTTGGGACTGACTTAAATCTACATTTTTAATAACCAACGAATTTTCTTACCTAGCTGATGGAGATAATAATGAACATCGTCTACATGATTGCATAAACTATACGATGAAGAATTAAAAGTTTCGGTCAGCCAGTCAGCTACAACGTAGGACCATGCACATATAAGCATCAATCCAAGTCCCTATACCTCATTAGCACAACAAGATGAACACCGAATCCATATAAGTAGCTAGTTCAGTGGTAGTAATATATAAACGATTGTATAAAAGGATATAGTACAGGAAGAAACAATTAGTCCGTAGAAAGAAAGATATGAAGCGATCTTAATCTCAAAGTATAAGGGAAGAAAGAGAGTGTATACACCGACGCCACTGTGATCCATTCTGAGCCATGTCACCAAGGGTCTCCAACCATTGGTTACGATAGTCACGTGGACCCCAACCAAGTAGTCTGCATCTACCAACATGGCTCAGACTAGAGGTTAATGACTTCAAGCACTGATGCCACATTTTGGTTTGGCCGCTCCTAACTTTCTTTCAACCATCCCCTACACTAGTCAGCATTGTGCGTCGTGGTAAACGGTGTTCAGGCATACGTAACACGTGACCCAACCATTTCAGTCGATGAAGATTCACAACCTCATCCACTGGTTTACCATCATTCTCGAATACCCTGCGTCTAACCTCACTATTACTTACTTGGTGATGCCAGCAGATGAGAGCAATCTTTTTAGGGCATCTGTGGTCAAATACTTGTAGCTTACGAGTACGTTCTACTCTTCATGGCCACATTTCGCAGCCAGAACGTAACGAACTGCTGCGCAGTATACTCGTCTCTTAATTGACAGGTGGATATCTCGTCTTCGCCATAGGTGACGTAAGTTGGCGAAAGCCAAACGAGCTTTTCGAATCCGTGCAGAGATTTCGTCAGACACTAATCCATTAGGGCTGATCAAACTTCCAAGATAAATGAATTTGTCAACGCGTTTGACTGCTTCACTCCCCATCCTTAGTTCAGGTGTTGACACAGGCCAGTCCTGAAGCAAATACATTTAGAGGGAGAGAAGCGCATCCCAAACATTCTGGCGTTGCTGCTCAGTGCTATCAAGACTCTGCATTTTATCTGCGTCTTCACGTCTAAATCCCAGATCCTAGCTAAAATATTAGTCAACCTAATCGCTAAAATTGGACCATCATCCTTGAAGACCTCTGGAGCCAATCCGTCTGGACCAGCTACCCTTCCTCGTTTCACGTTAACTATAACCTTTTGAACTTCTGCTAGAGTTAGAGAACCTACTTCAATGTTCCATTCACACTATCGGGGAATGGAGGGTAGTTGTAGAGTAGCTGAAGGCCAGCTGAACTGTTCCCTAAAATTGTTCTCCCGTCGTTCTAAACGTCTGGACTGGGAGCAGATGAGGGTGTCGTCTTTTTCTGAAATAGTCTCACTTTCACTCGACTTATTAATTCCAGTTTCTTTTATTAGTCTGTAGGGCTGTCTTGTGTTCCCTGCTTTCGTTGCCCATTACTGCTCACGGTCGTTTCTTAGACTTTTGTTTAACCTAGATCTGATTTGTTTACGCTCTTTATCGTGCTCAGAGCCTGATGGGATGAGTTTACAAGAATCCATCAGTGCAATAGACCTCGAAGAAATCAATTGATTCTTTGTTACCCTTTGGTTTAAATCACTAATGGATGTGATAAATAAGTCTAGGTGAAAACACTGACATAAATTCTGAAAGCTTTCTAGTAACTCTTTGGTTTAAATCACTAACAGGTGTCACTGCTGTTTGTATATCTTTCCAAGAAACACCTGATGAACGGTGAATATGTAGTCGATGCAGCCACGACCAGGCTGGTCTGCACTGTGCGTCCTGGTATACTCGATCTCGAATTGATGGATGGATAGGTGACGTGAGTCAGCAAAAGCTCAACGAGCTTTTTGAATCCGTGAAAAGATTTCGTCATTATTTATTAGTACTGGAATAACTCTCTCAATCAGTTAACCTGTTCTTGACATTCAATCAAGAGTGATAATAAGATCGCCGCAATCACTTTCAAACCTTCATGGCACTTAGTAGATATCAAAATGGCTTCCGGGTAGATCACAAGTAATCATATTCCTTACTACCTTGCATAACCATTTTTCCATAAGTAGAGGAGCACCTCAGGACTTCATACTCAACCAATTACTGAACTTTTGTTAATGACCTAGACATCCAAACTGTGCTATATGCAAGTGATATTAGGATTTGGAGGGAGATATTATCGACGATATACAATTGTGCCATAAACATCTTCCTACTTAGTAGATCAGTAAGTATGAGTGGTAATCAACAGAGAATAACCCATAATATGATTTATTAGGAATTTCAGAACTATATCCTCCACTATAGTCTCGCCTTTGAATGTAAATCTAAATAGACTAAGTACGAAATTGAATTATAATAATAATAGTATCAGGTTGAAACTAGAATCAAACGTCCTTATAACTAAATAGGATTAAAATCGATATTCGTACTAGAATAGAAATAACACTGAAAACAGAATATCCAGGAATTGTATAAAAATAAAATAAGCATATGACCGCAGTATACAAATCCAATCTCCATTTTACTGGAGTGAATACAAACTGCCGAGGATCACTTATTCACAGATTAACATCGTGCTTAATACATTAAAATGTGAAACTTCCCACCAGAAGCGAAAGTAGCGGCTCCTACTGGATCCTTCAAAGTAGGGTTGATATATACATTCATTGAGTACAATAACTCTGTGGTATGGCATCTATCGGATAATTATGATAATTAGGAGTATTTGAACTATAGTATGAACTGAGAATCCCAGAAATAACGTAATCGGATCAAAAAGTACTAGATAACCACAAAACGAATGTACTGTATTCGGAATTCGAAATCAAGCATTCGACAAGTACGAAGGAATCACTAGTTCATTTAAACACCACAACAATATAATGGGGTGAACTTATAAACGTTGTGACTTTTTTCTCACACTTGATAACGTACAGTGACAAACCGCTGCTAAAATACTCACTATTATTTTACTCCGGTTTCGTCATGCAATTTTATGTCGAAAAACAGAATGACAATCAGACTAAACTTAGGGAACTTAAACCTTGACAAAAACTAGGAGCCTACTAGGAAAATATAAAAGAACAGAAGATAGTGGTCGTATAAAATCCTCGTCCTTTTTCGAATAAGTACGAAGGTTAAGAGAAGTGAAAGAGAAACAAATGGTTTTATGCTAACAAAACCAAGAGGAAACCCAAATCAATCGAATGAATGTCAGTATTGAAGATTGAATGAAGGCGAAAGGAAATACGTAGTGATAAGAAGTAGAAGTATAGAGAATATGTGTAATAATGATTGATCTACAAACTCGTTATTTAATATTAACAAGAAAAAATTCCAAATGCTCAGTTGGATCGATAACGTAATTACATAGTACTCAACTACACTACAAATAATTTTTACGTAAATATTCTCCAAACTGCTCAACACAAAATCTTTGCAAAGCTATATCCAAAACAGTTTAACTAGAAATACGTAGGTGTCTATTTTCATATTTCTAAAACCAAAAATAGTACATTTAAAACTAGAACATGAACCAGTCCAGTCAATTAAAAACAATGGAAGCAATAAAAACGCACAAGTTGAACAATAATTAGTGACACAATAAAATGAGTTAATAAAGACATTTTTGTAAAAAAAAATACGGTTCCGTGATTGGTGAATAAAAGTTACTCCGAGGTCATATCACATCTAAAAGGTGAGCCTTTACTTAAATACTAGTGGTCATTCCAAGACTAGCAACTAAGCGCAAAATATAAGAATAGGCGAAACATGTGATTTCAAGAAAATTACTTGAATAAGCTGCATATAAACATGTAATGTATTTGACGCATTAGTATCTCTGCAAGTGAATGTGTAATTCTTGGATGACGCAAATAATTAAAACAATCAATGAACTACCACGTGAGATAGATTAAAGAAAAAATTAATTAGGCTGACATTCGTTTATGCATACGTAGAATAAAAGATTAAACCATTTCATTCAGTTCAAATAATTGATCACATATGCTTTTCAAGTGAGCAAAGTTATAACTATCTACAATATTCCCTACGTTTGGTATTATCTGTTCATGAAAGTAATGTTAAATTATGATATTAATGAACTCAAACTAAGTATTATATTACGTTACGACAAATAAAGAAAAATCAAATGCTTTATATGAAGTCTATGTTAATTGCACCTAAGTAATAAAGAGAAGACAAGTTTTAGTTACAACGTGGTTTTGGAAACACAGGAATGTTATTTGAAGTATTAATTTTCGATTCATACTTTTCTACTTAAACTAATTCAGGTTTAAATAAAAAGAGAAAGATGTACAAAATATATGGTGTATATTGAAAATGAATGTTGAATATCTCTTCTGAATAAGCACTGTCAATATATTTTTCATACATATGTTACAATTAGTGCTCAAAGTCGCTTTTGGCGAAAGACTGAGACATTCATTAACACTATTAAGCTATAAATTCTTCAGGAACTGTATTTATTTACTAGTTACGCTTACGGAAAGTTTAGCTTTACAGGCATATATAATTAAAGCTCAGTTACTTTATAAACTGTACGATTCTACAATAGAAAACGAACTTTTGAGAAGTTCCATATTCTTTGGAGAAAACTTGGATCTCCGTGTCACGTCCTTGATTTTGAACAAATTTACTACGAAGTTTAGATGCTTCGATTTTTGTGTAGAGAATGTGAAGGACGCCCCATTTGAACAAAATCCTATTTTGTTAAGTATACAAGAGTATTTAATCTAGCACATGGTAAATCTGGTGTACGTCATATGCAGCTGACTTACGATATAAGAAATCTAACATCTTCATAAGCAATGTCAAATATCCACAGAGATAAGAGAACTTATCAATTGTTTAAGAATGTTTATCATAAAGAATCAAAACACATAAACTTTTGTAAAACATTTGACGCACTATATGCTTCAACGATAAGAAACATGCTTTATATGCGAGTGTTTTAATTAGTGAAGCGTTGCGTGGAGTTACAGCTAAAAGTATTATCCAATTCATACTTGCCAACCACACGGCATTATTCGGTCAAAAGCAAACATCTTGATGAAAGAAAACCAGTAAATGAGCTTATATGGTGTTAAAATCGATAGTTTTTTTATGGAGTCGAATGATCGAATTACTTCATTTCTAAGGAACTAAAAATAATCCTCACCAGGATTCCATCAAACCATCACAAACATAAATAGGTTTATAAATGAATGAAACCAAAAAACAATGACTTCGAACGAATTGCTACTTTTTAACACCATACATTTAGAACGAAGATGAAGAAAAACAAATTATTGTCAAAGGAAAAATCCAAACTTTCCATGAAGCATTCTATTTGAACGCCATAAGTAAATTAAAAGGACTGACACGAAGAATAACAGGAAGAAAAGAAAATTTCATTGTACACTTTAGTGCCTTTATACATATGGAAAAGTAGAAATAGAATTAGGTAAAACAAAACGATAATGAAAAACATGCTATTTATATTTACGTGAGTGTTTTATCATACTAAAAACGAATAATAAGATATTGCAACACTTGATATGATAAAAAGATGGATAAAAATTAAGAAACGAAAACATCCAGAGAGACATGAAATCCACGTAAGTGATCAAACTTGATGTTCTTCAGTGAACAGATATTGTTAAGAGAGATGTATATAAATATCCTATGAAAATGTCCAGAGATATGAATTAACGCTTAATAAAGAAGAAGAAAGACACAATCCTCTAACTGCTTACAATTAAAATGTATATTTTAGAGAGATCGATTGGAAAAGAAGAAAATTTATATTGCACATAATAAACAATTCATCATACTAGTAAAAAGATTAAAATTTCTCGCCGAATTCACGATATATGGTTAACTAAGTTGTGTGAAGAAGCAAGAACATTGAGCTCTAAATAATTACAATAAACGAGCACAAACTGTTTAAAACATTATACAAGCGTATGCATAATGAGATGTAAAAAACATCTGATGATAGCCTAAATAGAAAAAACAGGTTGAAGGCTATATATATATATATATATGTAACAGACGACTGGATAGACAATATGTTCAGGTCACACCATCACGTCTGAAACGCGTATTCCTCTGAAAAGCAAATAAATAAAAATATTTACGCTTCAATTTTGAATTATGGTAGATAATGCAGATCTTTCACTCAAATTTATAACTCATTAATTGTATCATACTGGCTTAATATTAACCTATGCACTTCAAATCACATCGCTTTACGAGCAATACATAATAAATCGATGAAATTATTCAAGGAAAGTCTATAAATTTGACAATAACCGATTAAAAGCAGACGAAATTAGAAATACATTGTAGGAATATGTGGAGAATATCCATAGAAAAAAAAACATGATATCACATATTAGCAATAAATAGTCTTAAAAAACCACCTGGTATTCAAAACATCATCATCTGACTACGATAAGAAATTAAGACAGGACAGTAAATTCTTCTAAAATTCAAGGCAATCCATGTAACGTGATTCCACCTTAATTAAGAAAACCAAAGTACCAACAAAAATTCATCTTGGAAACTTAGTGACATCACGCATGGGCGGTTATCCTAGCTAGATGAATAATTTAATTACTCATTAAAACCTGCCTACATTTGTATCTTACATTCTGTCTTACCTCAACATATAACAGCCATTGGATTGCTTGTTCTGTCCAAATTGGGATTGATGAACATACATAACAAAGCAACTACATTGGAGACTTTCTAAACTGAACTTAACATATATTATTGGCAGGTGCAATAAAATAGAAACATACTAATCTATTTTAGGCTTATGTAAAAAATCGGTAGACCAGCTGCATTACCTGTGTTTGATTTACGAACGTAAACCATTACCATTAGCCCCCAAATGCCATGGTATGGCCGAGAATGGGGTGGACCCGCCCTCACTCTCGAAATGCTCTCACATGGCCACGCGTATATAGCCTCTGCCAGGGAAGTCCTACTCATTGCCTTCTCGTAGCAGGGTTGTTTACGAAAATGAGAGCACGAAAAGCGAATGTCCGGCGCTTTAACCGGATTCCAAACCAATGGTGCGCATGGGCTCCAGTATCCTGCAGGAACAAGTGGCGTATGAACCAATCGTTGGTCACCGGCTTCCATGGGAATGCATCTCCTTACGATGCTCCACTGCCTTATGGATCAGACCTTTAGGTCGAAGGCTCGGGGAGTGGCCCCTTAAGAAAACCACCTGCTTCGGATTGGGCACCCGGGCAGTATCACAGCCCACACACAAATATAATGAAAATGATGATATTGACTGAGAACTCCATTATCGATTCGGTTTACAATCAAACGATCCTCATTATTATTATTATTGTTATTATTATTACTTACTTACCACGTCATTTATTCATTTTCTTTTATTTCCACTCAGTGTATCCTTATTTTTCGACTTATACAGCAGCTCACCTATGGTGGAAATTCGACTGTATCTAAACGTTTTCGAGTCACTGTCCGGTTGAAAATTGAATGCTACCACCGAATACGAAAACTGAAGCAGTTTTTCTGAAACCACGTGCACCATTCAAACTGGCTGCCTTCAACGTTCGCACACTTATGCAGGTTGGATAACAGATAGGGCTGGGTATGTCTTTGGAAAGCCTTAATATCGATGTCTGCTGTCTATCCGAGACCCGTATTCAAGACTCTGGTGAAGTACTACAAATTCGCTCTTCATCTGTCGCTTCAAAAAGATTGTTTTACGTGTTTTTCCGTGGACCCTGTGGCACCTTTGTCTGGTCTTGCTCGCCTTGGTGTCGCACTAAGCGCTAGAGCTGAGGCAGCACTAAGCGATTGGATCCCCATTAACAGTCAGTTATGTGCTGTTAAATTAGAAAGTTCCATCAAAGTGAGAAGAAATCGACGTGAGAAACGATGTCTCTTCGTCATCTCCGCCTATGCCCCGACAGATTGCAGCCCGGATGCAATCAAGCATGAATTCTATCACCAGTTAACTGTTCTTCTCCAGAAAGTGCGTTCGACAGATGTTGTAGTACTAGCCGGAGACTTGAATGCTCAGGTCGAGCGTATAGACACAGAAGAGAGTCGTTTAGGTGACCGATGGAGACTTATTGGTCGCAGGACAGATAACGGGGACCGTCTACTGCAACTGTGCACAGACCACAACCTGTTTCTGGCTAGCATTAACTTTCAGCACAGTCATCGCTGATGTGCCACCTGGCGTCCTTCCTCTGCATCTCAAGCCTGGACTCAGATTGATCACATCGAGATCAGCTACCGCTGGCGTGGTTGTGTACAAGATTGCCGCTCCTTTCGGAGTACCTATCTGGACTCTGACCATGCCTTGGTCTGCGCCAATCTTACCTTACTTTTCAGTGGACAACGAAGTGACCGCCACCAACGGATTGATGTTAGCAAGCTGGTTGCAACTTCTGTTGCAAGTAAGTATCGAACCGAGCTAGTTTCTAGGCTAGCTACCATTCCACCGAAAAGTATAGATGAGCATTGGTCGCAATTGCATGACCCCATCAAAATGGCGGCTACAGTCATTTGTGGGTTCGCGAAACGTCCCGCTTATAAGCACTGGGTTTCTTCAGGTTCCTTACAACTCATTGAAGCCCGTCGATCTACTCCGGGTGACCGTGAGTTTGACCATAAACGAAGGATGTTACGTAAGGAAATTGGGAAAAGCTTGCGTAAGGAACGAGAAGCCTGGTGGTCGATGCGTGCTAATGAGCTGGAAGCAGCAGCTGCATCTGGTAATTACTGGAAGCACTTCCAACTCATCCGAGCCACTGGCAGCAAGAAGTCTGGTGTGAGTGAAACAATCTGCGAGGATGATGGGATGCCAATCACTAACATCCATCGACGTCTTGGAAGATGGGCAGAATTTTTCGAAGGGCAGCTCAACTGGCCTGCTGCTCCGGCAACATCGGTCAGACTGTCCTGCCCTCCATGGCCGGTGACGACTGATACACCAAATGAGGAGGAAGTCCGCAAGGAACTCCAACTCTTGAAGCGTTACAAATCACCTGGCCCAGATGACTTACCTCCGGCTCTTTTTAAAGATGGTGGTGACTTTTTGACTAAGGAATTGACGACGTTGTTTACAAAGGTTTGGAAACTAGAGAGTGCACCAACGTCATGGAATGAGTCGATAGTTGTCCCTATCTTTAAAAAGGGTTCACGTCGTTCCTGTAACAACTATCGGGGGATAAGTCTACTTCCGATTGCGTCTAAGCTATTGGCTTCCGTCATACTTCGTACGTTGTTCAAAACCCGAGAAAGATTGACTCGCGAGGAGCAGGCTGGGTTTCGTTCTGGTCGAGGATGTATTGATTATATCTTCACCCTCCGCCAAATGTTAGAACACCGTCATACTTTTCAAAGGCCAACAATCGTAGTGTCTCTTGACATCAGGGCTGCATTCAATTCGTTGAACAGGACTGTTCTCTGGGATTGTCTATTGAAGAAGGGTGTGTCTGAGAAGTTTACTAACATCCTAAAAGACCTATATACAAACACCTCAGGCAGAGTGAGGGCATACAACCACCTCTCTCCATTGTTCCATTCGAGTAGTGGTGTTAGGCAGGGTTGCCCAGTCTCACCATTCCTCTTCAACTTTGCCATCGACGACATTCTGGGAACAGCTCTGATGGATGTAAGTAATGGCGGCGTAGATCTGTTGCCCGGAGAAAGATTTCTCGACCTTGAGTATGCGGATGATATTGTCTTACTGAGCGATAATGCCCAAGCCATGCAATCCGCACTTAATCAGTTGGCAATCAGTGTCCGTAGGTATGGTATGTGCTTTGCACCTTTGAAGTGCAAAGTACTTCTACAAGACTGGCAGGATTCCAATCCTGTACTCACTCTGGATGGTGAGCAGATAGAAGTAGTCGAGAAGTTCGTGGATCTAGGTAGCTGCATAAGTGCTGGTGGGGATGCGAGTGGTGAGATCAATGCACGTATAGTGAAAGCCAGAGTGGCTTATGACAATCTGGGCCTTCTTCGGCGCCTTCGTGGTGTCAGTCTGGCTGTAAAAGGTCGGATCTAAAACGCGTCGGTGAGAGCAGTTTTGCTCTATGCTTGTGAAACCTGGGCTCTTCGAGTTGAGGATGTTAGACGACTCTCTGTGTTCGATCATCGTTGTCTCCGAAGGATTGCTGACATTCAGTGGCAACACCACGTCAGTAATGCAGAGGTTCGGCATCGTGTGTTCGGGCACAGAGATGATAATTCAATTGGTGTTACCATCTTGAAACACCGATTTCGGTGGCTTGGACATGTTCTACGAATGTCATCCCAGAGAATTCCACGTCGTGCATTATTTGCCGACGCTGGAACTGGTTGGAAAAAGCGGAGAGGTGGTCAGTGCATGACATGGTGTCGTGGCATGAAAGAAAGCTGCAAAGGACTGGCTTGTGTTGGTCCTTCACGACTCTCTGGTTGGGGTCCGAGAGATGGTGCAACACAGTGGCCAGAGACGTTATCAGATATGGCTCAGAATAGAAGCCAGTGGCGATCCTGATGTAACCTTCTTTTACTTTCTCCGTAAAAGGTGGTTGTATGTTCCTTAACTGAAAGATTTCTTCTGATTGTACCTTTCCGTGCCCCCATTATTACTATTATGATTATTATACTACCTTACACCAATCTCTTTATTATTGTTCTCTTTTTTTACGCTACTTACCTTTTTTCCTTGTCTTTAAATTCTCATTGTTTTGTGTGGCGCATATATATTTGGTGCCCTCTTGTACTAATATTTACGTGTAATAAATAAATAAATAACCGAGGTATTTAATCCTTCCGTCGATTAACTAAACACAGGTATGAAAAAAGGTTACTAACTGAAATGTTATTTAGAAGATATTTATTGAGTCACTGTTTAACTGGGTTAGTGATTGATTTGACAGATTTTTTTGCAATTAGTTACAATTCAACCTTGACTTCAAAACCTTCATATCTGACCTGGATTTACGAAATTTGACTAGATTAACAGATTTCGCTCCATCAATAAGATATAACCATTACTACTAAAAATGGTTACGGGTTTCATTTTACAACTAATATATTATTGAGTAGTGACCAATGTCATATCCCTTTAGTACTTCAGTGTTGATTAAATTCTGTTGATCAATTTACAATGTGGCCACAAATTTAAACGATTCGGCATCGTGTGCACTGTTAAAAAAATTGGGGGTTTGAAAGTAAGAAACAGGTTGCCCTGAACCTAATTTAATGTTAGTTGATTCACAGGTTCGAATCAATAAACCAGTTTCAAGAGCATGAATAATTTGGTTACATCATACTTTCCTATTCATCGATTAATAAAATCCTAACCCATAACACAAGTCTCGCTGAAATAAGCCGAATCGATGGAATAAACATATCTTTTTATTTAATGCTTTTATATTGTTGTGCTCTGTTACTGGGGCTCAGTACGGCCTACGATGTTACGGATTTAGGGATGAAAACAACTGAACTTCTCTAATACGATCAGTTCTCTTCTGAACTAACAACAGTCATTTATGCCTAACACATCAAACCTCGACGGCTAAGACAGGAAGGAGACGAAAATGCGGGCGACTTGATATTTTTGGTAGAACAAGTAACTCAAACGATATCGGTACAAAAGTTGTTACTATAGTAGCAGGATATGACAACATTCGACGTGTAGTAATTTAGCGGACTAAAAAACATGACAACCAATCAGAGAGCAAAGGTTATGCGGAAAATCGAATTGGTAGAACGTATGCGAGCGGTTGTCATTCCAGAAGAGATCTTAACCCTTCTAATAAAATCTGACTATCCTTGCGACCACCTTAGCATATATGAGATACATATTTATATATAATATCTTGCAGCCCCCTGTCCGAAATCAACTGATCAACCACCAATCACAACCCCGATTCTAATTTGTTCTAATCTCGTCCACCGCTTACTTTATGGCTTAGAGTCTCTAAGTTGGCCAATTCCAAGTCCGACCAGCACTAATAACCTTGATTTAACATCTAATTTTCTATTGATTCACGACTGTCTAGCTTATCTCACTGATCACCGCTTGAGTCCAGAAGTTAGCAGCCAGCCTGAACTATCTTATACTGTAAACAGACGTTGTCTATATAAAGGCAGACCAGACCGTATCACACCATAAATATAAAATAATAATCATACATATTCAAGATGGAAAGCGGCTGTGAATAGGAGAGACTAAACAAAAACCTACAGGGAACAAAGTAGGTATAGTAAAACGTATGATAATATTTAATGAGTCAACCAAAAGCTTATGACAAAAGGAATATATGTGCACATATACAGTAATCTAGTTACTTAATAATTATAGAATAAGTATATATAGAATAATAATCCATTAGTTCTGGGAGCTATCATTTCTTCAGCCTTCATTCAGATGTTGTATACATATACATGGAATTATTCTTAACGACAATGACAACATTTACTGAGACGAAGGTAAAAGCCTGGTTGACAAGTCGTGTATCCTGGGTTTCACTGCTACTTACAATAAAACAATACTTTAATGGGAGGATATCTTATTTTTACACTTGACGACTATATCTAACTATAAGATCATTATTTATTGTTTATTTGAACACATAGATATTCATACAAATGTGCACCAAAATAAATATGTGCTACAGCAATAAGAAAATGATCTAATGGAAACACGAAGTAGGGAGGGTGAGAATAACCGAAAACTAGTAAATGAATAAAAATAAATGAATGAGAGTAGTATACAGTGGGAGGAACAATTCAGTCAACAAAATTACAACCAAAAAGAATCTTTCAGGTTAAATATGTTTCTATCACTTTTACGAAGAATTTACAAGAAAACTACAGCAGGATCGTCACTGGCTTCCATTAGGAGCCACGTCTGATAAAATCTCAAGCATATGAGTTATACTATATCTCGAAGCCCACTCAGAGAGTCCATGGAGTAACCAATCCATAGGTTAGGAACAGAGCACCGGGTAAATACGGGAAATCGATTGATGAAATAGTAAATCTTCATCAACTGAGGTGACTGCAACATGAGTTACATATGCACAACCACCGCCTACCTCGGTGGGCGATGTTTTCTGGTGCAGGAGTAGGCTGAGAGAAAGCCAGGGGCGGCCAAACCAAAACATAACACCAGTCCATGAAGTCACTGAACATTAGACTGAGCCACATTAATAGGTGCAGACTACCTACTTGGGGTCCATGCGATTATCATAATCAATGGTTGAAGACGTTGAGTGATATGGCTTAAAATCGTTTGCAATGGAGCAGGTACATACGTTCTTCATCTACCTCCAAATTCGGAAATACTATAATTATTTTTATTCGTATTCCACCAATTTATATTTTCTTTTCGAATCGTATCTTCGATGCCTAATTTTTCCTATTACCATTGATACTGTTACTGTTTTTAATATTCTGGGATTTGACTTGACAATTTAGTCTCTCTGTGCTAATCCGAGCATGACAACTTTAACCAATGTACATACGTACCAGGTTCTACGTTGTGACTGACTGAAAGAGTCGTGAAGGACCAACAAACTCGTACCATAATTTTCTTTAATACCACGGTGCCATGTCATAGACTGACCATCTTTGCTTTGTTCAATCGGTCAAGACATCGGTAAATAAAACAGGACGGAATTTGAGATGATGACATTCCTAAAACATGTCCAAACCACAGAAGCCAGTGTTTCAAGATAATAACGCCAATTAAATTATCATCGGACACAAATCGCCAACATCATGTTGCCACTGGATGTAAACAATCCTTCAGAGACAATGATGGCCGGACATAGAGAGTCGCCGAATATCTTCAATGATAAGGTAATCTAATTCTATTTAAACAGCTTATCCAGCACTGCCAGTAACATTAACGAAATGATTTAGAATCTACTTATAGATCACAAATTAATCTACTTAGTGTCAAATTTTAAAAAACTTCCATCAAAACATGCTATTTCGCAGTGCAATATGCTTAATGTATCATGATAAAAATTAATTACTTTGCTTCTATCGGATCCTGGACCTGATAATCTTACACCACTGCCATTAGACGACATACTTCCATGTTGTGGACTTGAACCGGTATAATAAGGAGCATTCGGAAGGGTAGATGATCTAAGGGTAGAAAGATCGATTGGGGGGAAGCTTTGTGGAGTTGAATGTCGCTGACTATGAATTGATGTAGAATAAGAGTGCTGGTGATTTGGACTAGATAAAAGGGAATTAGGAGATGGTTGAATTGAACTAGTATGATAAGGTGGATGAGGTTGGCCAGAACGAATGTCAAAATTTTGTTTTTGATAAAGATCTACTTCAAGTTCTTCAAGTCGTTGAGTAACAGCTAATTTCTGCTGAATAGCAAGGCGTAACAAACTATTTGCAGTTCTTTTTTCGTCTTCAGCTACCTATATTTTCAAAATATTTTGAAAACGTTAGCAAAAAATATAAATTACATGAGTTTAAATTGACTACATGGACAATAGTTAACATATAAACTACACTTATTTTGCCCCCAAATGCCCTGGTACGGCCGAGAGTGGGGAGAGTCCGCTCTCCCTCTCGAAATGCTCTCACACGGCCACGCGTATATAACCTCTGCCAGGGAAGTCCTACTCATTGCCTTTTCGTGGCGGTGTTGTTTACGAAATTGAGAGGATGAAAAGCAAATGTCCGGCGCTTTAACCGGGTTGCTGGACATGGAGAGTCCACCTAGGGGAGTTGGAAAACCCTGATTCCAAACCAATGGTGCATATGAGCTTTAGTATCCTGAAGGAACAAATTGCGTGTGAACCAATCGTTAGTCACCAGCTATCATGGGAATGCATCTCCTTACGATGCTCCACTGCCTTGTGGATCGGACCATCAGGTCGAAGGCTCCGGGTGTGGCCCCTTAAGAAAACCACCTGCTTCGGTTTGGGCACCCGGGCAGCATCACAGCCCTCACATATATCAAATGAGATCTGTGTGGCGCATATGTATTTGACACCTTGTACCAATATCTATGTGTTAAAATGAACTATCAAGCAACCCTAAATGATTTGAAAATGCTACAGCACAAGGTGATTTAATGAAGTGTTGTGAATAGAAATTGAGGGGATTTAACAGTTTTACAGAAACAGACAATAAAAAGTCATGTTTATTTCCTGATATTCATTATCATCTAACATTTTTTTAATATTTTCCTTTTATTAGATTTCACCAACTCATTTTTTGATTGACCTATAATGTTGAGTAATAAATATAAATAGTAAAACTGAACAACTGCGATTCCATGTAGTTAATAATATGCTTTAAATATCTAGTCACATTTTTCGACTAGTAAATGGTGAAAAATTGTATGAAACAAAACTACGCAGTTGCTAAAGTGTATGCATGAAATACCCAAGATATGCATGTGCTGAAGATAACTGTAAAAGAATTTTTTATCACTTACATTTAGTTTCCTTTGCATTTCATCTAATTGTGTCATGTATTCATCATAACGTTGGGAGAATACAGCGCGTAAAGAACCATACATTGCAGCATCTTCTTTAAGTGTCTTCAACTCACTACGTAACTGTTGCATTGTTGAACTGACATTAATTTTTTCTTTTTCATATTTTTGTTTTAAATTTGCTAGAGCGGTTTCAGCTGTAGTTTTATTGGCTCGCAGCATATTACGCAATGTGTGTACTTGTTCACGTTTCGTCTCCAATAGACTTTTTAAACGCAAATTTTGTTGTTGGGTCTCTTCAATATCTAAACTGCTACGTCCAGGAACCTATTTCATAACATTAGTAATAATAATATTATTGAGATTTACAAACCACATCAGCTAACCAGAAATAGAGTACTGAATAATGTTATGCAAACCTAAACATCGTCTATCAAGACGCGCAGTGCTATGTAAACTAGGAATAAATCGCAAGGAAGCTAGGGTGGGAGTCAGAGCAAGGCATATAATCAATCCTAAGAGCTGTTAACTTCTGAATTGATCCACATCAGTAGGTATGGGCCTTCTGGTTGTGACCCAACTAATCATAATCTACGGTTCGAAATGATGGGCGAGATGGGGTGAAACTTTCACAGTAAAATATCTTTTTCCAAGCTTTTTATAGCTCCTTCTGAACTGTGTTTTTCATGCTTAAGCATCATTTTGGTAATTTCCTACCACACTGTGCTGATATGAGGTATGGAATATTTGTACTGATGATCTACATTCGTCAGAAATCCTGCGTTGACGGTACACAATTGTTTTTCTTAATAATGACTAATGATTAATAATGAACTGTGTCAAAAACCTCCATTTTGGGAAAAGGATAATACAATTTGATATAAACGGTTGTAAAATTCAAACACAGTTATCATAAAATGAAATCTTATGAAGCCCAATTATTATTACGAATCACAAAACATAATTGATCATACGATTTCATAAGCCAATCTACATGGAGGAAAATGTGAATAACATAACGAAATTACGGAATAAGAAACAAATCAGGTCTTTTTGTTTGTCATATATATATATATATACTTCAACATATTGTTATTTGTAAAGATGGATCTCAAAATATTTGTAAACTGTTTTAACATTTTGGATACGCTTTAGTGGTTAGTCTGGGCTACTCACAAGCATAGAATTCAGGATTTCTAGGTGTATGGTTTGACCAGAACAATAATTTTTGAAAATATTTATGTCTCAGACAATAATATAAAAAGACTATATTGATTTTACCTGATCCACGACGTCAGACCCACACACACGCACTTCCTATGTGGTTGCCCAATCAGATGTGCTATGGAGATGTAAATTGCTAGGAAGCTGTAATTGATAAAACTGGATAATTAAGTACACTAATCATTGGTATAAAAACTTGTTTCTCTGACCCAGACAAAGACATATAGATTAAGCTCTCTATTGGAACTATAATAGACTTCCCTCAATAGCGTGTCTCGTTTATAATTTCTCAAATACCATTTCACCTTAAGGCAATGTGTGAGTATGGTCACATGACATGCCTAGACTCGTTCAGTCTGTCATCAGTTTCCAAATCCTATATACGACCGGTGTACTGAAAACCCTTGGATATATGCGACAAGTGTTAACTAAGTATGGACTATGTTGAACTAGTTCGTATAATTTAAATTATACATGTTGCTTTGTTTTTAATACTTAAAAAAGCTACATAAATCTTGATTATAACACTGTCATTTGTACCTGATTTGAAATCTGAGAATACTTTTCATTGAATGTGCTAACTAGATGACGCAGTTGTGTGACAACGGTAAGATGCAAATCGGCTTCTTCGGATAACACTTCGAAATTAGATTCGGTAGTAGTAGTACTGGTTGTTGTTTTTGTATTAGACGTGGGAGATTCTGTTGGTTTTATTCCACAATCTTGTCCCAGCTGTTCATCAATAGACTTATCTGTCCCAACGAGATCAGATGCGACTGAATTCTCCGACGAATCTTTCTCACTACGAAGAGGGATATTAAAACGATCCGCTACATAAGCGACCTATGAAGAAGTAAATAAAACCGAAACCTAAAAAGACATGTTTTTCAAAACAAACAAAAATTGCTTAAAAACGCAACAAAACCTTCTATGAAGAGTTACATTAGTAAACTACGTGAAATATAATCACAACTTAAAAGAAGTGAGAGCAATACAGCAAATCTGTTACTCTATTTGATTAGGCTTTTTACATAGCTAGAAAAAGAAATACCTGGCACGTACTTTTAAAAGTACTGTACAGCTTTAATTATGCAAAAGTCGAATAAAAAGCCGGCGCAAAAATAAATATTTAACTGAAATATTTAGAGAACTCAAAAGCCCTGGTATGGCCGAGAGTGGGGAGAGTCCGCTCTCCCTCTCGAAATGCTCTCACACGGCCACGCGTATATAACCTCTGCCAGGGAAGTCCTACTCATTGCCTTTTCGTGGCGGTGTTGTTTACGAAATTGAGAGGATGAAAAGCAAATGTCCGGCGCTTTAACCGGGTTGCTGGACATGGAGAGTCCACCTAGGGGAGTTGGAAAACCCTGATTCCAAACCAATGGTGCACATGAGCTTCAGTATCCTGAAGGAACAAATTGCGTGTGAACCAATCGTTAGTCACCAGCTATCATGGGAATGCATCTCCTTACGATGCTCCACTGCCTTGTGGATCGGACCATCAGGTCGAAGGCTCCGGGTGTGGCCCCTTAAGAAAACCACCTGCTTCGGTTTGGGCACCCGGGCAGCATCACAGCCCTCACATATATCTAATGAGATTTGTGTGGCGCATATGTATTTGGCACCTCCTTGTACCAATATGTATTAAAATAGATAAATAAAAATTTAGAGAACAGAGAGAAACCAATTTAAAATCCAAATTCTACCTAGCAATGTTGGTTGATTACTAAAAGTGATAAAACAATAACCACCTCCATAAAAGGCATCACCGATTTTCAAAACGTTCTGATATTGCCTTAAAATGTATCTCCTATTTTGAGCCTCTGTCTTAGTTCATATTACTGGTATACCAAGGTGCATATCAGCCCTATACAATGTGTGACTCTACTGTATCAATTAATGATAGCCTGCTGGCCCATCTATTTCGTACAATACTCAAGCAACTGACGTCTACATTAATGTAGCGGACGAAAATCGAGGCTGGGTTGCTTTGCTGAGAAGCTGTTATTGTCGTTCAGGACAGCACCAGTGCCTACATTTAAACAAAACACATTGGTGGGCCATGCACATAATAACTCCATTTTAGACTAATTCTTACAATAACGTGACTCGGTGTAATTGTTTGTTTGGGATGGTTATTGTAAAGCAGTAGTGTTACCTATAAATATCTGTCGGAACTGAATTGTAAACTAAAACATTACTGACAACACATCACCTTAACGGGCAAACATAAAAGCACAGCCAGCATTGTGAACTACACAACTCTTCACAAAATTTCACAAAATTTGCAAACAACCCAAATATTTCCCAACAACTGCGATATTGGGATCAGATCAAACACATACTAGACATAACAACAAAACAAAACGATAGAAACGAAACCTAAAACGCTCACTTGTTTATGTGGTGATACTTTAATAACTGAGCACACAAAGCTATAAATCCCGATAAGAACAATAAGACATTGCTTATAAGTTTCCGTGACAGAACAGATCTTACTATAATTTTTACAAATAGTTTGTTCGTTATCAGATAGCTTCTGCTGTAGCGTTTTTATTTCCTCATTACGTTGTTCCAAAATATCTTGTAAGCGAACCAGTTCTTGTTTTAAGGATTCTTCTGAAGCTAGTTCAGGTCGAGAATCAATTTTTTCACGCTCATGATATCTCCAAAGATCATGTTGCATGCTGGCAATTTGACGCAAAGCTACGGAATAACGATTTTCATTTAGCCGTAGAGCTCTACGTAATCTTTTTAGGTCATTTTGTGTGTTTGTATTTGGATCTTCATTTTCATCGGTATGAGAAGTCATTGAAATACAGGATTCCACCATCGCATTTTTACAGTTTGCAGTTGGTTGTGCTTCTAATTCCAATTCTTTGACTTCGAATTCAGAATCTGCTTCTGATTTGACGGACATAATTGCATCTAACTGAGCCAGTAACCCATTGATACGCTCCTGTTTATTTGAAACTTCACTTGTAGCCAACTCAAGAGATCGCTGGGTAATTTCGAGTGTTCTCGTAAGTTCATTTTTCTCAGCTTCTATATGAGCCAATTCTGCCTCATACTTGGCGATTTCTGTAGTTCTTAATTCAGTCAGCAGATCGTCTGGCGAAGGATGCTTAGAACCAGACTTATTTTCCTCTCGATTCTTCACATCACTTCCAGGAGGTTCATTAGTAGACACATTGGTATCTAGTAGGATAGAAGTTAAATTAATTTTATTGTAATTAACCATATAGATACATAGTGATTAAATATTGGTTGAAGCATTGATGCTTCAGTATAAAACTTTGATATTTAGTTCGATTCATGTTATGGCTGCGAGCCGTGTTATTTAAAATTACAGGATATTTGCAGGTTACTAGAATTTTCTCATGAATGCCTTCGAAGCACACTGTTTCCTGATAATGGGACGGGTGGAAAAAATTGAGTTGGTCATTCTACATGGAGCCACAGTAAATAAGAAAGCTATTTAGGACTGGTTTTCTTCAGCCTATTAAAGCGTTTTGGTTTGGATCCTACAAATCATAAAACTTATTGGCTTCAGATGTTATCAAATATAGCTCAGAGTAGGAACCAGTGGTGATTCATGAAATACTATTCCTGTTAATCTATTCATATATTACACGATGCTTCCCTCTTTTGCAGCCCTGATGTAACGTATGTTAAAAAAGTTAAATAATCTAGCATCGAAGCCAGTCTCCCTATGCCAAGCAAACTGCTCACTTAAGTAGTCAAAAGTGAACAAAGAGCTGGGCATATAGAATGAAAAGAGATTAAGAGATATAGTCGGTATCTTTGAGTACATTTCACCGAGCATGACATGTAACAATCCAATCGCTCATTACCTGCTTAACAGTGAATGCCAGTATTTTCAAATAATGAGTAAGCAAGTAAATTTAAATGTTTGGCATAATGTTGAGAATATCCCCATCAACTTCCATCAGTCTTGATCATTTATAACGATCTTAATTTCTATCAATTAGTTGCATATCGTAATCTATGGAATAATTCGTTTTTTATTGATTCTTATGGACCTCACTACGTTGGTTCGTTACACAGTCCTTTTTCGTAGCTAGTATTAAGTAACTTTTGTTAAAAAATTTTCTAGAAACCAGTAAATATCAAGTTTCGCTTCGCCTTCTAGAATTTCCATCAGTTAACCAACAAACAATCAATCGTGTAGACGATTTTAATTATGACTCTATATTTATTATTTATTTATCATTCCCGACTAAGATGGAGACATTTCTGTTAGTCATGCAAAATATATGAACCTGTTTCTCCAAATGACGAATACTATCATTTTTAAGTTCCAAGTAGTTGGAGAAAACCTATGAAACAATTGAGCGTATATTAGTTTGTTAGTGTCTATGTTAGTGGTGTGTTGAAAAATTCAAAGCGCCCTATCGAAAGAATAAAATCATGACTGTTAAACGTTTTCAAACTGATTTGAAAGCTATATCTAAGTATTAAATCATGCAGAAAAATAATAATAAAATCAACTCAGCAAAAAGATACGTTAGCACATTTAGCTTGGTCTAACATTTTGTTGGAGGTAACAGTGAAACTACCAATTGGTTTGACTGAAAGTGCGACGCAATGCCAACACTCGACTACGGTATTAATAACCAGAGCCTTAGCTTCTAAGAAAATAATATTAAATGTACCCGATACTTGTATAAGTTTCTCCATAACTTTGTGGTAAGTTGATTTTATTTATATAGATGATGTTTTAATAAGATCCCATTCACGAAAATTTGTCTCTATTATCCAGAAAAACGTAATGCTCTACTTGTAGTTGATATATACTGTGATACACCAATACAGTAGTTCAAAGCTGGTAAGCAGATCCATTAAGACTAACTATCTTGTTCTGAAGAAACTAGTTACAATGGTATACTTTACAAAACGAATTAATATTAAATAAATAAACAAAATTTCTGAATAGTACTTAAGTCAACAACAGAACGTTCGGACTAAGTAACAGAATAAAATAATAATGATAAGCTACCGCAACTGAATTCTCATGAATACTTACCTAGTTTTTGGCATTCAGTATTACTTTCCTGAAGTTGACTAAGCTTGCTAACATTTGCCAAATTGTTTAGGTTTCGCAAGTCGCTGAGGTGGCTTATTGAATCCGATATAATTCTGCTGTCAAGTTCCTTGCGTAAATTATGACGTTGGTCACGTTCAATCTGAAGTGATTCTAAAGCATCTTCCAAGGACTTTTCGGTCATCCGCTTTAAACGAGTTATTTCTTCCAGTTGGACATGTATAACATCATTTTCCTCTTGTAGTCGCTTTAATTCATGCCTTACGCTTTCAAATTCCACCTGAGGTAATCAATATAGCACACTTCGAACTTACCTGACTAGTTTTTAAGGAAAGTATAGTCTTTTGTAACTCTAAATTTTCTGCCTCCAAGTCATCATATTCGTTTAAGATTTGGACTTCTTTTGCTTTAGCATCTCTAATATCAGATTTCAGGTTCCTAAACTGTTTCTCTAGATCTTCATGAGCCGACTGCTGTTCAGTATTCCTTTTGTGCAACGTGTCATTCTCTGCCATTTGCCGCTCGTACTTAAGTCTGAGCTCCTTTAATTCCACTTCTAAATCATGCACTTGATTCCTTAAGACACGTTCCCTGTTTGCCGACTCGGATACCAAGTCATCCTCCTCCTGGAAGCCAGCGATACTTAGTCTACGTTGAATAAGGTTTTGTTCCTCTAAACTCTGAAGTTGAGAGTGTGTCAATAATTTAAAGGACATTACCTTGCGAGTAATTTTTAGTTCTCGATCTAACTCTTCATACTTTCCGCCCAATTCATCAAGCTGATTTTTGAGTTGTTGATTTGTTTCCAAAAGGGTAAGGCCATATTCAGCTGCTTCATACTTCTCCTGCATAGACACTTTCAGTGCAGACTTTAACTGTCGATTCTCTTCTTCCAAACTCCTCCCATCATCCGCCATCCCCAGCGAAATTGTTGCGCAACAGACTAAGAGCGGCGCTCCCCAAAACTAATTTTGGTTTCAGTGTTTAAAGGGCAGGATCTGAGTGACCTGTGTTGGTCCTGTCAATGGTGGTCTCTCAGTTTATCCAACTTTCTTTAGAAAGCGTCAACAGATTGAGCTTCAATCATATGTTGAGGTAATAATGATTCGATGCGAAAGTCGAAGGTCAGCTAACAAGTGATTTGTTCTGGACTTGTGAAAGTTTATGGAATGTCAACGTAATGTCTCTGTTTTGGAAGACCAGAGAAATGAGGGCATATCATATTCAATTTGTCACCGAGTAATTTAAAAACTGTGACCATATCACCTCTGGTTCTTCTATATGACAATGGAAATTAGTTTAGTTTAGCCAGTCAAATATCATACGGTAGTTTTCCTATTTCGGGAGTCAGCTTAGTTGCGGTTCTATGAAAATTTTCCAACAGCTCACTGTTTCTCTTTGGCAAGAACTAGCCTCTCTCTTCAGTACTCAAATTTATGACGAACAATACTGCACACAAAGTCAAAAAGGTCTTGTCATCTACATAGTTAAGGCCTGTAGCGGTAAATAAATCCGATATATTGGTAATCGCCAAATACACTCTTCCGATCTCCTCGACTCTGTCTTTTGATTTCTCTGGGTGGGAACGAAATATACTAGAAAGTGTTACTGGTAAAAGCGTTGTCAAACACTGAATACCTGTAACATCCTCAATATCTTTGAATCTCCTCGCTTCTGACTCTGGATTTCACTGGGTGAACGCGATTTAATTATAGAAGGTGTTACTAGTCAAAGTGTTGTCAAACTAAAAATACTTGTGATATAGTGGCCAGTTCGAAATTATGTGTGACCATGATCGCAGAGAATGATTTGATATGAAATGCCCTGATAACACTAAACTTCATAGCACTATCAAGGGGTCTCGTTACGTCTTACTGACCGTAACTTATCACGTGACAAAATCGCCAAACAGAATATCCACTTCTGTTGCCTCGTTCCTGTGCTAAACCAATGATGCATCGAATAGCACAAGCTGCCTTGAGTAAACTCTCAGTCCTTATTAGTCCTTTTTATAACAAATTATCGCCCAGTCCAGTTACGTTCAGTCCAATCCAGAACACAATCTCAGCCTCGATTGTATAAGTTGTATATTTCAGACATACTTGATTTATATGCAAGCCGATCAGACCATATCACACCATAAAGTGAAAAATAATAGTTGTACAAGTTCATGTCAAAAGTGACTGTGTGTGTGGAACACTGTGACTGATAAATTAAGGGATAAGTTAAGACATATAAATCGTGTTGCAACAGCCAGTAGTACAAATTGAAGCGTATCATAAAAGGAATATGAAGATATATACGTATTCTGGTTGCTTATGCATTATCCGATGGGTATATATGCAATAATAGACCGTAATAACTCCCAAGCAATTACCGTTCATTCGTTTTTCGTTCGGACATGGTAGAATTGACGTATTAACAGTGCAATGCTTTTGTACTCCAGTACATAACAACCAAACATCATAGCAATCAATTTGCTAGAGATTTTGACAATGTCGCGATCTTCATTTTAGACAAGTCAGTTTATGTTACTGGGGATATGTTGTCAGCATTTTTTGACGTTCATTTCAATGTTCAGCAATAGGAGTGGTAGACCGGTCGACATGTGTTAATTCTCAGAAACTGTCTTCCATTGGAGACCAAGCTGCTTCTACAAACTGTTCTCTTATACAGCTGATACATTTAGTTAAGGAGTTCTAGTCGTCGACTACTCGATGAGAAAAGTGGGTACCAAAATATTATGTCAATGAGTGGTAAAAATATATAAAATCTGTTAACAATCGAGTCAATAATCAAAATAAAGGATGCAAATATAGGTTCGCCTCTTGTTCTGTAACAAAATAAGAGAACAGGTTTAAGTATATTATTTATTCACCGTAGGAAAGTTTGAAAATACCTTTTACTATCCTTCTTCCCACTCGATGAACGTAATAGAGTGTCTAACCATCTTGATAAGACATAAATACTTGGATGTAGATTTCCAAATGAGGTCTCATAAAAGTGGTGTATAAAATCCGAAATTTATCCTTATCAAATCATTCCAACCCTCTGCAAAGTAATCACGAATCTCAGAAGTCGTTAGTAGCTGCTGCATTGTAATTTTTGGTTGTTTCTAAGTTATGACTTATTAGTACTCCAAATTTTTTTCCTCTCACATCAGAGGAGAGAATGTACCACTGCCAGTATAATGGTGATGGTTGTGCTGTCCACTATGCATCATTGCACTACTTCTGTGATTAATCCTCACACAAATTTTGGGGACATCTATCTTATTCGTTTAGGTCGGCTTGGAGGTCAAGATTATCAGCCTTTCCATTTATTGTTCTCTATATATTGACATCATCAGCAAACAACAGTTTTGGAGAGTTGAGCAGTCTTGATAGTCTATTGGTATTGAGTAGAAAAAGCGGGTCACTGTTGCGACCTGAGGTATACCAGTGTTAACCAGTTAATGTCCTACTCACCCAAACTCGTTATATCGGGCCACAAAGGAATATTACTATCCACTCTTTTACTGTGTCTGTAATTCAAGAACTCAGGGGCTTCTGTGTAAGCCGTACGTGAGATACTTTGTCAAATGCCTTGACGAAGTTTATACATATCACATAGACAGATAAATCTTATCATTGGGTCTCTGTCCAATCATTTATAACAAGTCGTTGTTTTATTGAGTATAGGTGTCCGTTCCGAACCTCTTGTTGCTCAGGAGTTATCAGGTCATATGATTCCTCAAGAATGAATAACAGCCTGAATTGTTTCTTCAGATACCTCGATTACTAAGTAATTTTGGTTTTTTGGCTAGTAGTTCGACACGATCTGCCTCTTTTTATACTTGAATATATGAGTGGTGATGACATGAAGGGCATGAATGAATTTAAACATCATGTTTTGACATTTCCTTGGTTCACGAAAACTATCGTTTTGAGCAGTTACCATAATCGTATGCCAACTGTATTTTTAGGTAATGCGAAATCTAGTGATAGAGATTTTATATAAATTCTTGATTTTTTGATACCTGTTGCTAAAAACTGTTACTAGAAATACTTCATACGCCACAGCAACTTTTGAATTTCCCTGTAGATATTATGACAGGTTTTGACCGTATTGTTACCGTTCCTAATGTTGATATATCACTTTATTCATTTTCAGCCAACTCCTCTAAATCAGCTTACTAAGGCGACGTAATAGCACAGCTTCTGATTGTTGAGATGTCACTCACCAGGTTTTTGGACTGGTTGGAGCAGATACAAGCTGTATATGGTGCGTCAAAAACCTAAGCACAAGACGGTGTGATCAGTATTCACCAGTAGGAGTTGGTAATGAATTTCAGTAACATCGTCAAAATAGCGTTCAGAGATAACATCTAAAACTGACGTTCCCTATTCTGAGTCAAAATTTATCAGTTTGGGAATATTTTGTATTAGTGTACACCGAATAGTAACTAACAGCAGATAGGTGTCAAAACGTCCACCTGGAGTTGTGAGATATATCCCGTCGTTGTTTGAAATCCCTAGCGATGAGGTAAAATGGCTTTATTTAAAAAACTATGAATGAGACAAAGTTTTTAAAAGGCGAAACAATGGTAACAAACTGAAGAAGAGGTGTGTGACGGCTGGTACTATGTCAAGTTTACATAAGTTATTCTAGCTTCTGGACAGACCAATTTATTCATCCCTCACAAGCCACATATTGACCTTATCATTTATTAGTCTATAAACTCTGATTGCATTTATGTGATCATATGTGTGTTTGTTGCTCACTGTATTCATTACGTGTCTGTCAATTATTTTTGTCTGACTATAAACATTAACTCACGGTCGGTCAAAACTTGCTGGCTAACTTGCCATCTCCTCTGGGCGCTACTTTCATTTGTTTCGTTTCGTTTCGTTCATTTCGTTTCTCTGATTATCTGTTCAGATCAGAAATGTACGTATTCAGACTTCATTCTCATTATTCCCTAACATGTATTAAGTCTATAGAAACATTTTAGAGTCGATAACAATCGGCATACGATTCGACTGGATTCATATATATGGCCATTAAAGCCTTGAGCCCTACTTTAATACTAACTCAGCAATTTGCACCGATGAAAAACATTACTCACTTCACACTTTCGACGAACAAACTCAATGTAGCTTACTCAGTCGACAAAAAATGTAGTTTTTGGCTATACGATCCAATTTCGACAACCTCATTGGTAATATCATCCTATCACCACTAAGTGATAAGCCCGATTTTGAAATAAATACAATCTGCGAAACCACGCAGACGATAAACGTTTCTGACTTTATGCATCCGAAAGGCGAACTAAGTAGCTAACGTAATCGACAAGCAACCTGAACGGCTCAATCTCTATTCCGATGCATTAGATGAAGCCAGTAAGGCAGCGACATGGACATGCTCAAATCGTATTGGCTTATCGGCATTTTGTCCTCGTCTCGACTCTTCCAATTGACATATCTGGCAGATCACTTCATAATTCTCATAATAATTATCATATTTTTTATAATCGCGTCAGTGTCATATTATCATCTAACGTGGAATTATTATCGTTTGTGTCGATATTGAATTATGACATTCACGCAACCAGAGTACTCACCAAAGAAATCATAATTTTATGGACGTTTCATTCTCACTGTAACACTTGAAACTCACTTGACTGCTTTGCTATTCAACAACGTACAATTTCATTCTGTGAGTTTTTTCCGTTTTATTTTTGCCCCATTATTACACACATTTATGCAAATGAAGTCATCTTCACGTTATCATACCACACATAATTCATTTTGTATTATCTTCTATTATGACTGTGGATACATTTGTCCATACTGACTGATTAGCGACGATTATGTTCATCCTTTTTGTTTTTCCATATGTACGTACAAATCTTATTTCACTACTACAATTATTGTTCTATTCCTGTTTTACTGTATATCAGAACATAGAGTTCATAGCTAGTTTTGTTGTAAACGAGAACA